GAGGAAGGGATTATTGCTGGATCTGGGGAAGCTGCTGTCACCAGTGATGGATCACTGCAGATTGCACTGCTATAATGAGATTGCTCCAAGCTGGTTTTCATGTTTACACCTGCAGGAACCTCTCAGTCACCTCAGGACATCGCCTTGGCTGGGGCTGCAGGAGGTGATCAGTTCTTCACTCAGTCACACTTTCTGTCCCTCTCCTCTGTATCTGCTGATACCAGTGAGTTATAATGGTGGGGTCCTTCTACTTTCTAGAAGTCATCTCACGACCATAAGCAGGTAATAAGGACTGATTTAAAGGAGCTCCAATTGGTCTGACATTTTTCCAGTTAGGAATTTGGTGAACAAAAATTGTAGTTATCATAATATTCTTGCCACTTGGGTCTATAGAAAAAATTAGATCTTTTTCTACACTATCTGTGTGGAAGATTTACTTTTCAGGAAATCAAAACTCCTTTGAGTGATATGGTAGGAACCACCTGAAAAAACTGCCTAGCTTAGCTTCTGACCTCATATGTGACTGAGAAACAACTTGACGTCACTGTACTCCATTGTAGAGTTCTGGGGCTTTGAGATTTTGGAGCCTTGCTAACCCTGGAGACACCGCCAATCCTAGAGTTAGCCAATTCCTAGAGACAGCAAAGAACTGTCAGGAAATCTTACTTTTCAGATGCAACCCAACCAATCTAGAGACCACACTCCAACTGCCTCCTTCAGGCCACTGTCCATCTGCCCTAATCACCGCAGACCCAGGTACCAGACCACTGAGTACAGGGCCTTTAACCCAGAAATCCACTCCAATTATTCAAACAGACCCAGTCCTAAACCTGCTTATCCTGTCTCTCCAGTTCCTTTCCATGGAAACCACAAAAAAGACTCTTGTCCATTTGAGCACATGATAAAAGCAAGAGCACACAAGGGAGGTATGAGGATAAGTAAGACACCTAAAAAATTAGCTAGCATTTGTTGCCCTCAATGCAGAGAAACTAAAAGCAACTGAGGCTAATAGGAAAAGGGGACCAGGAACTAGAGAAAAGGTTAGATCAAAAAGAATTAACCTAGAAGGTAACACACATGTACAGGAAATTAATGAGTCAACTCCCTGTATAGCTATCCTTATCTCAACCAGCAAAAACCCTTGTTCCTTCCTATTATTGCTTATACTCTCTCTTCAACAAAATTAGAGATAAGGGCAAAATAGTTTCTGCTGGGTATTGAGGGGGTGGGGGGAGCGGGAGGGGGCGGAGTGGGTGGTAAGGGAGGGGGCGGGGGCAGGGGGGAGAAATGACCCAAGCCTTGTATGCACATATGAATAATAAAAAAAATAAAAACTTTAAAAAAAAAGACTCTTGTCCATATTTGCCTCCAGCCCCCCCCTCTTCTCGGTAACTATAAGCAATGAGCTATCTTTCCAGTGACAATCTGCTGATCAATAACAGTAATAATCAATAAAACCTGCATTTATAAACACCCATTGAAAGCACAAACCTGGGGCTGAGCTGTGATAATAACAGTGCGAAGCAGTTTGCCTTCGTGAAGAATGGGGCCAAGGCAGTCAGAATCCCTGACAAATTCTCACCACCGGCAACTTCCCTAAATGGGTCCCTCATTGAAACTTCTAAGAGAAATAGTGCCATCTTATGGTGATATTTTGTGGTCTCTGATTTCTTAGGCCTTTTTTTTTTTTAATTTCTAGATCTATTTTAGTCTCACAGTAAAGTCAAGCAGAAAGCACAGAGATTTCCCATATACCCCTTGCTCTGCTACATGCACAGCAACATGTCTCCCCTACTATCGACATCCCCACTGGAGAAGTACGTTTGTTCCGATGGATGAACTTACATTATATATTATACATCGCTATCATCCACAGACATCCTGCTCTAGGCTTCACTCCTGGTATTGTACATTCCGTGAGTTTGAAAACATATGTAGCAACATGTATTTGCCACTGGAGTATCATAAAGAATGGTGTCAAGGCCCTAGAAATCTGTGTTCTGTCTATTAAAACCCCTGGCAACCACTAAGCTTTTTACTGTATCCATAGTTTTGTTGCAGGCCATTTTTACTCTTAAGATGTTCTTTATTTGGCTGCCCACTTTGGGCTTGGGTGCAGGATATAGAATAGTGGTGAATAAGATAGCCAACCTCCCAACCCCAGAGAAGAGGTGCAAGTAAAGTCAGAAAAAGTCAAGTAGAGGAATACATAAAAGACGTGAGAGGAGAAGGGGGTGGGGTGCCTTATCTAGAATGGGGAGATAGCATACAAGTAAAACCTCCAGGATGAAAAGAAGTCAGATGTCAAAAGTGGACAGAAGATCTTGACAGGCAGAGACCTGGAATGGTAAAATCTCAGAGGCAGGAAAGAGTGAAATGGATCTGAGAGAACCATGAACTAGCACACCAGGTTTCAGGATATGGGATTCACAGGATAATGTTGGGGGGCCACTGTGAGCTTAGTCTTGCTGGTCTGGAAGGTCCTGATAAGAAACTGGGATTTTACTCAGTTTGCAGTGGGAAGCTTTACTTAGAGTAACATAATCTGACAGATGTTTTAAGAAGCCTACGTTTGAACACCTGGTCACTCTTTTTCCTGAATCATTTGGATGGGAGTTACGTGTATCATGACTGAATGCTTGAGCTTGCTTTTTTCTTCAATGGAGATATCCTCTCATGATACAATTCATGAGTTTACACGGATCCCAATTCTAAATGATCCCCATAGGATCGTTTCTTCTCTTCTCTCATTCCATATTTGCATCTTTCTTCTACAATGAGAGCCCTCAATCCCAACATCAGCACACTTACTCCTCAATCACACAGCACATTAAAGGTTATTTCTGAATCCTTCCACCCATACCACTGCAGTGATCAAACCTGAAAAGACTTCAGTATGCTTTCCCTCCCTGATCAAGACTATAGATAAAAACTCAGTTATTCTAATATGTTCAGTTTGGTTAAGATAGCATTTGAATTAAAATTAATTTTATTGGCTGGCAGAGTGGCTCAAGTGGTGGAGTGTCTGTCTAGCAAGTGTGAGGCCCTGAGCTAAGCTTCAGTACCACCCCCCCCAAAATTAAGTGTATTTATTTCAATTTGCTTTCAACTTAATCTTACTCCCTTTCACGTCTAGTGGTTTAATTTGAGTTTTGAATATGTGGAACATTTGTATACTTTCAAAAGTTAAAACTATGCAAAAGGATACATCCAGAAAGTATCATTCTCTGCGGTGTTCCCCTGCTCTCCCAACTTCATTTCCCTTTTCCTGACTCCTTGCAGACAACCAACTTCATTGTTTGCTAGTTTATCCTTCCCTTTCTTTGTTACGGTATTTTTTTCTATCTTTTTTTTTTTTTTTTGGCAGTATTGGGGTTTGAACTCAGGACTTCCTAGGCGGGCTTTCTATCACTTGAGCCACTCTGTTAGTATTCTTCCATTTCTGCTTGCAATGATAAGGAGATATACACGTTTTCTCTTCTTTCCTTCACAGCATGTAATATAAGTGTTCTTTTGAACTTCAATTTTTTTAACTTTTTAATATCTCCTGGAGTCACTCTATATCAGTTCTTAGAGATCTTTCTACCCAGCACGCTGACTGAACCAATCTCCTGTGTGGTATTTTACAATGATGAACAATCCCACTTCGGATTTTTGTGCAGATGCATTTTTGTATTCTTGGAAGTGTATGTTCAGAATAAATTCCCTGAATTGAGATTGCTGGGTTGAAGAAGAAATGTATACAGTAGGTCCACCATAACCATGCATTCAACAGACCATGAGTTCACTAGACCTCAGATTGAAAGTATTTTAAAAAACTGCATGTGTACATAAGCAGACTCTTCCCTGCCATTTTCCTCTGTATGACACAATTATTTACATAGCATTTACATTGTTTTAGGTATTTTAAGTCATGTGAAGATAATTAAAGAAATGAGGAGGGTATGTGCAGGTTATATGTAAACACTACACCATTTTATATGAGACTTAAATATCTATGCGATATCTATGTGGGAAGGGGGTTCTGGAACCAGTCCCCCATAAATACCGAGGGACAACTGTAAGCAGTTTTATTAGCTACTGTCATTGGCTTATCTTGTTGTTCTTTTTGTAGCTTTTGAATTGATAACTTATTTTCATTCTTTTGTTTTTTTAATCAATATAGGTATTAGTTATGACTTTTCCTGTGTTCCACGTATTCTGTATATTTGCAGTGTTTTCATTATATGCATTTTAAAGAAATTTTATACTTTCTCTTTGTGCTTCTCCTTTCAAAGAGTTGTTTAAGAGATAGCTTTAAAATTTCCATGTGGAAGGTTATGGAACCGGCTCTTGGGAGCTGTTTGTGAGTCCAGGTAACTTAATCTGCTTAACTTTTTCCTCTCGGCTCCTCCTTCCACACAAATTCTGCTCTGAGCCTGGCATTCATCTACCCTTCCACCTTTCTGATACCCAATCTTTATTTTCCAGAACAATTTCTCCCTTTCTTAACTACTAAGAAAAGAAATCCAAGATAAATGCTTATGGCATTTATTACTTGTATCACATCGTTCAGACATGTTTGGCTAAATTTTACCAAATTTGAAAGGCACCAGAGTCTTAGGGCATAGAAACTGGCATCAGATTGTCGAGGTTTGAATCCCAGCTCAGTCATGCAGTGGCTTTGTGACCTTGGTCAAGTGACAAATCCTCTCTCTGCCTCAATTTCTCCAGCTATAAACGGTTGTGATAGTTTCAACAGAATAGCACGACTGCTGGTAGCGTCTGGACACGTCTCGGAACGACAGAGAAGTCCATTCAGTGACCCCACCGCAACTGTCCAAGCCCAAGCCACAATCCCCAACTTACCAGGGCACCTAGCCTTGGACGCAGCCCCACCCCCTCCGGTAGCCCCGCCCCTCGGCGCCCCGCCCCTTGCAACGTGCCAGTCTGGACTCCGCCCCCTGCGTTGCGCGGAGCTGCGGTCTCGCCTGGTCTTCGGGTCGCCAGACCTTGGTGGAGTCGCGCGATTGTCTTTGCCACCGCCGCTGACACAGCCGGGCGTGGGTGCCGGAGGGAGGTGGCACCATGGCGGCCGAGGCCCTGGCGGCGGAGGCCGTGGCCTCGCGCCTGGAGCGGCAGGAGGAGGACATCCGCTGGCTGTGGGCGGAGGTCCAGCGCCTGAGGGACGAGCAGCTGAAGGCGCCCGACGCGTGCCAGGCGGAGGGGCCGTGCCTCTCGCGCGAGGTGGCGCAGCTGCGGGCGGAGAACCGCGACCTGCGCCACCGCCTGTACCGCCTGCGGCTGTGCCTCGCCGAGGAGCTGAGCCACCGGGCCACGCGGGGGGACGCGGGGCGCGCGGCTGCGAGCGCGCAGGTAACCGGGCGGGCGCTGCGGCCGTGCGCGCGTAGCGGCTTTGGGCTCACTGAGCGCGGGGGCGGGAGCGGGCGTGGCCCCGGTGCCCCGCAGCGTGTGGTGTGCTGAGCACAGAGCTTGGCGCGCGTGTTCCCAACCCCGGTACCCCTACCCTGCTGCAGTCTGGGGAAAACGCTAGATTGCTGTCAATCACCATATGACCCCAATCGGTGACAGTTCTCATCTCAGCTCTTCCATTAGACAGCCTGCCATGCATTTCTTTTTCACTAGCAGAAATAGTGCTTTGATTTATTTGGCAAAAGGCTGGAGTAGTTAAGATTCAATAATTACTTGGGCAGAAACACCCTCAGCTTCTGTTCCCTCTGGTGGCTGGTTCTGAGCTGTTTAGGACATGTGGTTATATTTAGTTAGTTCTCTGTTTTGGTGGTCTGTCTTGAGGGGTGATGCATATAGTTAACATTACGTAATACAACATTTTAATAGTTTAGATTGTTTAAGGACAGATTGTCTTTTTGTAAAATAATAAGCTGAGTGCTGAAGGCTTTCTCAGACTGTGAGATGTTCTTTAGTTCTTTGCCAGGGGTAACTGGGGTGCTAGCAACATCTTAAGGAAATAGTGTGTTGAAAGTCTCTGATAGTGGCTACACATTTTTCAGGGACCTTATGTGTTTGAAGTTTAGGACGGATTTTTTTTTTTTAATCCCAGGAGTTTGTGAATGCTAGGCATGCACTTAACCACTGAACTCTTATCTGTAGCTACGTGTGCCTGTTAAAGTTAAAATATATTAAGTGTGCTTAGTGAGAACGTGACATGCACAGACAGGAAGGACTGACCCTGGAAAAATGAACCCTTGAGGGTTGTAGGTAAGTGATGGTCAGGATCACCCAGCTCTGAACCTCTAAGTATGGGGCATTTGCAACCTGCTGGCATGTCTCCTACTTCCTCAGGTTTCAGATGTGTTTCCCTTAACAAGCCTTTATTGTGTCATTTATCTTTCAGCCTCCTTCTAGTCAGAGTCAAGAAAAAGACACTAAAAAGAAGAAATTGAAGGAAAGTGAGCCTGAAAGTGAGGTAAGTCATTGCTATGGAAATAACATAAAATTACCTGAACTTTTAAATATGGGCATGCAGCATTTTATGAGAACATAATTACTAATTAAATTTTTATTTGAGCCACATTTAATTGTCTTAATTAGAACTGCACTAGCCACCCAGCTAGCTCCTCAGTCTGAGGTGTGATAGCAGACCTCTTTGGTGTTAAGAAACTAGCTAACCACTTTTTAAACTATAAATCATTAAAGCAACCACAAAGTATTTATTACACATCAGCATCTGGTAGGAACAAAGGAAGAATATCTGGTCTCAAAGAGATGGGTCTGGCTAAGGAGTTCAGACAAACACAGGAGAAACAACTAGAGAAAAAGTGAAATGGGCCAGTTGACCCTCTGTATCTTCAGGATCTGTTCCACAGTTCAACAAATTATGAGTTAAAAATGTTTGGGAAGGAGCTGGGATGTAGCTTGGTGGTACAGCGCTTGCCTAGCATGTGTGAGGCACTGGGTTCGATCCCAGCACCAAAAAAGAAAAGACAAAAAAAAAATGTTTGGGAAAAAAATGCATCTTTACTGAATGTACACACACTTTTTGGGTCACTTCTCCCTCAACAATAGAGTATGAAAACTTTAATATTTATGTTATATTAGGTATTGTAAGTTGTCTAGACATGATTTAAAGTGGGTGGTCTGTGTAGGTTCTGTACAAACACTACACCATTTTGTTTAAGGATCTTGAGCATCCATGGACTTTGGTATCTTTGGGCTCCTGGAATCAATCTCTGTGAATACCGAGGGATGGCTGTATATAAATGTGTTGTGTCGTGTGATGGTGTACACATTCTGTAAACAGTGGAAAAGCAGGCACCAGTGAATGTAGTAATTAGAGGAGGCAGCCTTAGAGCTAAGGCGTTAGATAGATAAGTGGGGAGGGATCTTCTGGAAGGGAAAGTAGAGAGAGAGAGAGAGAGAGAGAGGAGAGACCTGTGTATGCTGAGAAGGCAGTTGGGGGCAGAACCGACCTAGAGAGCAGCAGCTAGCAATAAGTGGACTGTGGGTGTTCACCTCATTGTATCGTAATGATTTCAGGTGAAACAACCAAATTTTATAAAAGGAAGATTGAAGCTTTTTGAAACATTGAAGAAAGATCATCAGCTGTTACTTGCGACATGTGAAAAGGAAAATACAGGCAGTGTGATTACAGTGAGAATGGCTGGCGGGAAAACAGTACAAGGGCAAGTTTGGAAGACAACACCTTATCACGTGGCTGTGAGATCAGGTAAAGCATGTGGCTTGGAGAAGATATCCAGTATTGAGTAATTGTACCAGAACCAGGTGAAAATGTTTTCTTAGGGTCTACTAAACTATTTTTTCTTATTATTAAATAAATTAACTGTAATGAATATTTTTCTCTGACTTCTAAAAAGGCCACTTGAATATGCAATATCTTCTTCAAAAAGTTCAAATTCAAAGTTTTAACAAAAATGTATAGTACAGAAAAATATTTATACTCCTTGTCAGACCATATTACACTGATCTTATTCATCAGTCAAGTAATTTCCATGAATTTTTTCAGGTCCTTGTGAAGTTATACTGTTTTAGTTAATGTTAATTCCTAGCATTAAATATAACCATATGGAAACCATAGCTCAAAACTACCATGTAAATAATATTTTATTATTTAAAAAACAAACTGAAGGCCAGGCACCGGTGGGTCACTTGGCTACTTGGGAGACAGAGATCAGGAGGATTATAGTTTGAAGGCAGCCCGGGCAAATAGTTCAAGAGACCCTGTCTCAAAAAAAAAAAAAAACTTCACATAAAAGGGCTGGTGGAGTGGCTCAAGGTGTAGGCCCCAAGTTCAAACCCCAGTAACACACAAACACACGCACACACAAAAACAACCCAAAAACTGAACAGTTGAAATCTTCAGATTTCTTTTGAAAACCATAGCTAAGGTCTTTCTGTTTCATCCTGCTATATCATGTGACTTACAGGCCTTCCCAACTCATTTCTGTGTTTTCCAGCAGAGACCATGTACTAAGAAAAAGGGAGTTTTGAGAAAAAAAAAAGTAGTTTATATTTTTTCATGGAGAGTCAGGTTGCATCTTGAGTGTGTTAAGTAAAACTGTGGTCTCCAGGCCAGCATCACTGGCATCACCTGTAAACTTGTTAGGAAAGCAAATTCTTGCGTCCTACCTCAAACCTCCAGAGTCAGTCAGCTGTCTTGTTTTTCTGAACCTTCCAGGGGCTTCTGATACAAACTAAAGCTTAAGAATCACAGAATTAGGTTAACCTGCAGCAGAGCTGCCAAGATAGTGGCTTAAAGAAGGTAGATATCCGGTAGTCTCACCTAACAGTCTAGAGGTGACCAGTCAAGGCTGATAGACATTTCTGATCCTTCCAATCACTTATGGGCCCAGTTTCCCTCTGCCTTCATCCCGTAGGGTTTATTCATGTCTTAAGATTGGAAGTTGGGATCCATCTGTGGACCCGCCTGCAAGCTGGGAGAGGGGAAGCTGAAGAACAGTGCAGGATTCAAATTCCATTTACATCCCATTAGTTTACAGTTAGTCACATGGCTGCTTCTAGCTATAAGAGAAAATGGAAATGTACCTCCTGATGGTCAGCCCCATGTCCAGCTAAAACATTTTAGCCTTGAAAAGAATGGTTTGGGAACAATGGGCTACAGTCCACCCCTCCAACATCCAGCTATCTCTGGGTGCCCAACACCCAGAGTATCCACACTCACCTCCTCCCAAGTGAGACAACTCCAGGCCCATAGCTCAAAGCTCAAGATTTCCAAATGATGTGCACAATGCCTCATCAAGCTACCTCCTGTATCCCAGTAGCAAATGAACAGAGAAATGTGCTCAGTGACATGTGTGTATAGTAAACAAAGACAAACACAATTAAGCTGTCTTTTTTGGGAGAAAAGGAGAAACATAACAGTGATGTACAGCAAACTCTTATTCACAGCAATTGTGATACCCACAGTTGGTGCCCGGACCAGGCCCCTGGTCACCCTTTGTTCTCTAGAAGCAACTCTTTTGCTCAGAGACCTCTGTGGGCCTGAATTTTCCTTTTGGTGAAGTTAATTATTGTCCAGTACCCTCATCTGAAGTATGAGAGCATTTGTCCTCTTGGTGACTGTATAGTTTGCACAGCTCTGTTCTTGTAGGTGTATTCTTGGGAGCTGAAGTTCACTTTAAGGATCACTCACAGGTATTTCTAAGCTGGGCTTGTAGTTTTTTGATAAGACAGTTCCCTCAAATGGTTAACTGTAGTAACTGGCTTCTCATCTGTCTGCTGGTAATCAGTCTGCATGAAGGTAATCTCACTTAAAGAATCCTTTTAGACAAGAGATTCTTTATGCTCTCTTCCATGACTTTTGTACTTGACTCATTCCTCTCTCAGTTGAGTGGACCAAGATCCTATGAAACATCAGGCTTGTGGGAGGGCAGCACCCTTTCTGTCTAATTCTTGCAATTCCACTGTCCCATTTGTCTTTATGTGTGGCTTTTGACAAGCGTTGTCAGTGCCTGTTGTTTGGGACAAAAGATTGCCTTTACAGTCTTGCACAGACCCACATCTATGAACTCTTAGCCAATTTGAGTTACAGACCACAAGTACAGAGAGCCATCCTTGGCAAAACCCTGTCCCTTCCTTCTTATAAATTGGATCATTCTCATCTGAGCTTATCTCATTCTGGTGGTATCTTGCTAAAAACAGCAAGAAGTTATCCAGTGCAGTGTATACCAACATTCTGCCTTTTTGTGTCTGCTTCCTCCTGTGCTACTGTAACACATGGTTTGTCTAATGTTTTGTAATTCTTTGACAAGAGGTATTGGATTTCTGCATTTTATTTTCTACTTCCTGTAACCCACTGCTTCTTTGCCAAGTTAGTGCCATATGGTTTACTGTAAATATGTGCAGGTTCTTATTTCTCTGTTATTAAGATACAGGCTAAGAGCTGCTGCAACAGAGAAAGGTAGCTCAAAAACTCAGTGATTTAAATATGGTCAAGATCTCTTTCTCATAAAGCAGTTGGGAGGTGAGTGGTTCAGGTTTATATATAGACAGCATGTCTCAATGTAGTCATTCAGGGACCTACATTCTTTCCATCTGTTGCTGAGCCATCTGTAACAATATTGCCCTTATCTCCATGGTCCAGAGATAACGGCTCATGTGTGTTCCTGCTACACATCATCTCTGCTTGTATCCATTGTCTTAGTCTTGGTCACATGGCCACATGTCGCTGCAAGGGAGGCTGTAAAACTGTTTGCATGGAAGGAGAGGATGCATTTGAGGAATCATGGTTAGCTCTGTCACAGCCAGCAAGAGGAAAATGAAATCCTCCTTCATTAGTAACAACAGTTAACATTTATTCTCATGTAAACATTATTTAATCTTAGTATAAATGTAAAAGGTAGGCCCCATAATCCCCATTTTGAAGATGAGAAAAGTGAGGCTTAGAGAAGTGGGCTCCTCACCACTATGCTGTACTACTTTTCAAGTTAATCACAGAAGTGCCAACTAAAGCATTGCATTGTAGAGAGGACATGATTTCGCAGTACCTAACATTACAGCAGAGATACTCTTGCACCTCTGCCGGTAGGAAGACTTGACATTAAACTGCAATGTAAATCATTAAAAATGCATTTCCTGTGACATAGCAGTTTTATGAGAGTTTTTCCTGAGAAGATAATTGGGCACTATGATGTGTGTTCAAGAATGTTTATGCAACATTACAATTGCCAAAAAATAAAAACCCAAAACCCACAAAGAAATAACCAAAATTTCCAACAAGTTTTGGTTCTTTGCAATTATTAAGTAGCATGTTTTAGATGTCTACAAAGACACTACAGAATGGTACTGTTGTTAAATTTCTTGATATGTGTGGATATATCAAACAGTGTGGAAAGGAATAGAACAAAATATTAACAGTAATTTCTGGGTGGTGGGATTGTGGATGGGGTTACATACTTTTCTATGCTTCCCAGGTTTCTTAACTATTTTTCTCAATAATTTGCAAATGATAAACATTTTTTAAAAGATAAACAGACAAAAAGAAAAAGGTTAATACCTCAACAGAAAATATTGCACGGGTGCGTGTCATTTACCCTAGCGAGTCCACTTCTGTGGACTTTTCCATTAAAGACACAAAGGTGTAGTGCGTGGGTGTCTGTGTGTTGTTCCCTGTGGTAGCAAAGCTAAAGGCAATCTAAATGTGCAGAAATGGAGGCTTCTTTAATAAATGTGACATTTCCAGACTGCTTTGGAAGTCTGTCTGGTGACATGGCAGTGGAAAAGCAGGCTATAAAATTATGTTGGTGACTATGTTTTTTTTTTTTTAAAAAAAGTTAGGAATGGGCAGTTATAGAATAAAGACTGGTCATGTACCAAAATATTACCAGTAGTTGTTTCGGGGTAGTGAGATTTATATGTGATTTTAATATTATTCTTTGTGCTTTCTTTTCTTATTTTATTTTTTGGTGGTACTAGGGCTTGAACCCTGGGCCTCACATTTGCTAGTCTGGGGCTCTACCAGTTGACCCACACCCGCCTTCCTTTTTGCTTATTTTTCAGACAGGTTCTCCTATTGTTTGCCCAGGGCTGGCCTCAGACCACGATCCTTCTATTTCTACCTCCAGCGTAGGTGGGATTACATCTGTACACCAGCATGCCTAGCCCTATTTATTTTGTAAGTTTCTAAAATAGCAAACATATTATTACTTTTATACATAAAATAATTGTTACAGAATGGAAAAAATATCTGTTATATTAGTTTATACTAAAAAACGCCCTGGAAATTATTTTAATCTTTTCTTGTACTGGACCATGGTAGCATGTGATAACAGTAACTCTTAAATGACTTTTCTTTTTGCTAGTCAAGAAGTGGCTGAAAACACAGTAATAGCCAAAGTCAATGGTGAATTATGGGATCTGGACCGCCCTTTGGAGGGGGATTCCACTCTGGAGCTGCTGATGTTTAATAATGAGGAAGCTCAAGCTGTAAGTATTGGAAACCAACCAACCAACCAACCAACCAAATTTGGGGTCTTTATATCATAAACTATGTTATGGAAGAGGCCAAATATCAAAGTCAAGAATGATGAAACTTTGGGCCTTTTAATATTTAAAAGTACAATGTGGTGTTTAATAAGTATTTCATGAATATTTTTGGAATGTGCATATATATATATATATATATACATACAGTTATATATAGTATATAAATATATGTCAGTTTAGTAGTCCATATTTATTCTTAAAATAATTGTTTTCTTAAATTAGAATATTTTAGCTATTATGTATTTGAAAGAAAATTTTAGTAGACTCTTAAAAATACATCTGCCTTGTAATTTAATATGTATAGAATTGGAAAAAATCAAAAATTCTAATATCTTTTAAATAACTTACAAGTGGTATTTTCTAGAACAGAAATTCCACATTTTTATGTAGGCTTCTGATATACATTGATACATTGCCACCTTAAGGCACTCCTTGCCTTTCTTCCCGCACCAGGCCTAAGCTGGATTTCCGTGCTGCACTCTGTGCTGTGTTCCTGGTACACAGTCTCATCCCCACACTTACAGGCACAGAAGGGAGTGAAGCAGCTATGTCTGTAGTTGTAGTACACAGCAGACTTAGGCAAATGGCTCTGCTGGAACTCCAGGGAGGGTGCAGAAAGTGTTCTTTTCCAATGGGCATTGAAGACACTTTTCAAATGTCTTGGCATTTATCCCCTTAACTTTTATCTGCTTGCTTACTGGTACTATTTTTCTTCAATTGTCCCATGACATAATTTCATAGAGGATGACGTCTCTGTCCTGCATGTGCAGGTGTACTGGCACTCCAGTGCTCATATTCTCGGGGAGGCCATGGAACTTTACTACGGAGGCCACCTGTGCTACGGTCCACCCATTGAAAATGGATTTTATTATGACATGTTCATTGAAAACAGGTAACACTGCTACATACTGCCTTCCGAATGCATGTGTTTATAGTTCACTCTTTGTAATAGTTTTGTATTAGCTTGCTCACTAAATATTGCATAATACAAGTATACATTGGTTAACTGTTTTTTTTGAAAATGGTTTTTTAATAAATTTAGAAAAGACATTGAATGTCTTCTTTCAATGTTTTCTTTCTTTTCCCCAGAAGGATGTGATGCACTGTTTATTTAATGTGGGCTTGCTAAAGCATTATGCTAAGTAAGGGCAGAGTCACAAACTTTTCACTTCTTCACACAATTACTGAAGATGCTGTCAATCTCAGCCAACATGTCATATACTTGAGTGCTAGGCAGGGATGGTGTACCAAAACTTCACATTCCATAGGTCTGTGCCTGAAGTCATTAACAGCCAGCTCTTCCCTCCTCCACCGTGCCTTGTATCCCTCATAACTCTTAAAGATGCCACCAACTGCCTTCCAGTTCCCCCATAACTCCCCCCATCCAGCAGCCCAGTCTAGTTCTGCTGATTTTTATCTCCTAAATACTTCTGTCCTCTCCTCTCCTCTCACTTCTGCCTTAACTTAGACCCATAACATCTCTTGCCTGGACAAGTCCAGTGCGTTTGCCCCTTGCCTGTCACTCCCATGCTCCTTAATGACCTCGCTAACTGAGCATCCAGCACTCTGTAGCTACTACCTACAGGCCTGTCCAGTTGGAACTGTTTTTACTCCAGACTTTGAATTGTGATTACCTACAATACTCTGACCTCAAATGTGTAGGGTTTTTTTTTTCCACACAAACGACCAATTCTTCAACTCTCAGGACACCAGCTATGTGTCCCGTAATTCATTCAATTCTGACACTACCCAGAGTCAGTGCATAGGCTGTGAGTTGAGGGCCTCATACCCTCAAGGGTGCCCCCACTTAAGGTGTTGGTCATAGGTCAGGAGCTCCCATATGTCTGACCCACCCCATGACCTATTCCTTGGGTTCAGTAACTTGCTAAAATGGCTCACAGAACTGAGTAAGATACCTTAGTTAAGTTTACCAGTTTATTATAAAGGATATTACAAAGGGTACAGATGACCAGCCAGATGAAGGAGATGCACAGGGCAAGGTATGCTGGGAGGATGTGGAGCTTCTGTGTCTCTTTGGCTGTACCACCTCTTAGCACCTAGTTGTGTTCACCAACCCAAGAGTTCTGTGAGCCCTGTCACTTGGAGGTTTTGTTGCATAGGTGCAATTGATGAAACTGTTGGCCATTGATAATTAATTCAATCTCCAGCCCCTCTCCCTTCCCTGGCTAAAAGTTCCAGCCCTGTAATTTTGCCATTGCTCCCTTTGGCATCAGTTCCCATCTGGCTCCAAGGACCCCAGTCAGCTCATCAGCACCCAAAAGATACTCTTACCATGCCAGAGAGTCTGTCATATTACAGTATGGCATTCAGTGGCATCTCTTGTTTCCACGACTCTAGGGTTCACTTGAGCTGGTGGTTCAGCAGTGAACTCATGGAGCCACCATTCCATTAGGGGAAGACAGACAGTAAACAGCCGTCATCAGCAGATGGTGATGAGTATGTGAAGGAAAATAAACAAGGCAGGAGGAGTTGTATCTCATGGCAGGCAGATGGTCAAGAAGAGGTGAAGTGCCATTGAGAGAGGCCTGAATGTAGAGAGAGTATGAGCCCTGAGGAAACTGGGGTGGGAGGTGTTTGCAGACATTTGGAGGAGAAAAATCTCATGCTTGTCTGGGCTGTGCACATCTGTTTGAGAAATGGCAAGGAAACCAGTGTGGCAGGAGGGCCTGAGTTCCAAGCAGGAGCTACTGGGAGGTCCGTTCTTCCATAGTGTGAGCACTGTGACAGCAGTCCTCCTCCCAGGTGGCTCCCTCAGCCACAGAGGGCAGGACATGGTAAGACCTAACTATAACTCTTTGGAACAAAAACCATAAATACCTGAAGCATAAGGAAGACTACACAGAAGCAGGCCTCAGAGGAACTTGCAGTCCCACTGGGGAGTCTCCTGCTAGGAGTTTCCCTCAGGTCTCAGCAGAGAAGAAAGATCACTACAGCATCTTCCCGTGCTCTGGTCTCCCTCTCAGGAGGAGGAGCATCTGTTCTGTGCATGAGTGCTCCACTCCCTGACGTCATGGTCCAGTAAAACACCAATCCATTTAGCAAGTGTGTCACCTAGGGAAGATGGCCACAGGTCAGAGGAGAAAGGGAAGTACAGAGGGTCTGGAAGGTCTGTGTTGATATTGGACTCTTCTTTTCAGAGCAGTGTCCAGCACTGAGCTGTCAGCCCTGGAGAACATATGTAAGACCATCATCAAAGAGAAGCAGCCTTTTGAGAGATTGGAAGTCAGCAAGGAAACCCTCTTGGAAATGTTTAAGGTGCCTGGGGAAACTTCAATAAAAGCCTTTAACTAGGAGTGTTAGAAGTAATTAATGTAGACTAGCTTTTCCTCCCTACCTGTATAATTGGCTGTTGTTCTCCATGTTGTTCCATATTCTGAAACTTGCTGTGCGGTTGTTACTCATCACTTGCTGTGATGTTTCTGTTTCCTCAAAAATTGCAGGCAGATGTAGGTAAAGGGCTAATGAAGAATTACCATATGTGTGTCTATAAATCTGGTTAATTCTGAGTATTATTAATACATGACTACTGGGAGTACTTACTCTGTTTTATGGAATAACATGTTGCCTGATTTTAGAATTGAAAATAAAGGCAACTAAGAGCATTAAACTAGAAAAACTCTGACTATCAAATTCAACAACTTTTACAATTCCACACAAAATTGTGCCTTTTTCTCTTGGGGGAAGTTTTCTGTGAATTTTTTTTTTTAAGGTTTTAACATAGGGCTGGGAATGTTCCTGTGGTAGAGCACTTGTGTAGTAGGTGTGAGGCCCTGGGTTCAATCCCTACCATGGGATAAATAAGATTTTAACATTAAATTAAAACTTTAACATTATATTGTTTTGACTAATTTACTTAAATATATTACTAATTATTTTTAAATCTACACATCCGAGAAAGCACATATTTTGAAAAGCGCAGTATTGTTAGTTTTTTGGGACTGAATTTAAAAAAATAGATTAGGTTTTGATAAAAGATTCATTTACTCTTTTTTGTGGCAAAATATATAAAATATAAAATTCACTGTCTTAATCACTTTCAAGTATACAATTCTGTGGCATTGATTACATTTGTGTTGTCAAACCATCACCACCATCCATCCACAGAACTTTTCATTTTCCAAAGCTAAAACTCTACCCACTAAAAAATAACTCTTCATTTCCTCTTCCTCCCAGTCCCTGGCAACCACCACTCTGCTTTCTTTTTCTATGAATCTGATGACTCCTGGAACCTTATCCAGTAGAATCATACAGTATTTGTCCTTTTGTGGCTGGCTTATTTCACTCAGCATAATGTCCTCAAGATTTCACTGTGGTTGTATCTTATGTCAGAATTTCATTCCTTTTTGAAGGCTGAATAATATCCTATTGTACGTTTATGCCAAATTTTGTTTATTAGTTTCTCCATCTGTGGTCACTTTTGACTGTTGTGAATAGTGCTTCTGTGAACCTGGGTGTGCAAATTTCTGTTTGAGATGCCTATTTTACTTCTTTTGATGTACACTCAGGAGTGGAATTGCTGAATGATGCGGCAATTCAACTTTTAGTTTTTTGGAGACCTGCCATGTCATTTCTCACAGCAGCTGTACCATTCACAGTCACCAGCGATGCACAAAGGTTCTGGGTTTTCTATATTCTTGCCAACACTTACTATTTTCTGTTTTTGTTGTTGTTTACAATAGCCATCCTAGAGGGTGTGAAATGGCATCTTACTGTGTGGATTTGATTTGTTTTTCTCTGACGACTTGGTGATGTCAGGCATCTTTTAAAGCACTATTGGCCATTGGGTATCTACTTTGGAGAATTCTCTGTTCAAGTCCTTTGCCCGTTTTTGAATGAGATTGTTTTTGCTTTTGTTTTGAGACGGGGTCTCACTATGTTGCCTGGGCTGGCTTTGAACTCCTGGGCTCAAGTGATTGATCTGAACCCCAAACAGCTATCTAGCCTCCAAGCAACTCTCCTACAGCATGCCTGGCTCTTTGTTTGCTGCTGAGTTCCTTACATACTCTTGATATCAGTCCCTTAACAGAGAGATGATACAAAAATATTTTCTTCCATTTTGTAGGTTGCCTTTTTTTGTAGCTTCTTTTAAGAACTAAACATATCAGCTTTTGTGAAGAAAAATGATTTGATTTGAACATGTATGTGTGAAGCAGTCACATCATACAAATCTGGGGATTTTTCCTCCCAACAACTACCTCTTTTAAGTAGTTATTTAATAGAAAGTACTTAGCATATACTGTTATAATAGCAATAAAAGCAGAAAAAAAGGAAAAGAAAAAATTACATTTGCTTTTTGAATGTAATGATATCACTTACTATAAACTTTGTGTCTTTACACAACTGAAGGATGTTGCTGTGTCTTTCTCAGAGTTGTATTAATTTCACATAATTAAAGTTGGATCTTCTAGACCAGTACTGTCCAGTAGAAGTATAGTGGAATCCACAAATCCAAGCCACATGTCTAATCTTGAATTTTGTGTCAACTACATTGACATTTTACTAAAAGTAAAACAATGGTGATACTAATTTTAATGAAATTTATTTAACCCAGTATATCACACATAGCCAGTGTGAAAAAAAAAAATGAACAAGCATTTTATATTCTTTTTTTCCCCACAGTACGCCTTTAAGGCCCTGTGTGTTTTGCACATCAATTCAGCTTAGTCACATTTTAAGTGTCCTTAGCCATTTGGGTTCCTGGGTCCCTGCTAAACAGAACAGCTCTAGGCTGTGAGTTCTTTGTGTCCATAGTGTTTCAGCCCCTTGAACATAGCAGACACCCTCTTAATGTTTCTTGAAAAAAGTAGTTTTCTCATTAAAACTTTGTATCATAATATGTAAATATGTTTTTCTTTGTAGTACAATAAATTTAAATGTCGCATTCTGAAGGAGAAGGTCAACACTCCAACTACCACAATTTACAGGTTTGTGTGCATAAATTTCAAACACTGCTTAATGGTAAATTGAAGGCATTAGTAAAAGAAGCAATTTGTTTTCTGATGGGGGGGTTGATCTTTTTGTAAAGTCGTGAAGTGGATATGCGAGTTTCGCTGTTAGCTCCAAAATGTTATCACCGGGGGAAATTCTACTTTTCTTGTTCTTAGCTGTCAGGATGGTACTGAAATCCAGTTTTCATTTTCTGATGTCAGCTCCAGTAGGATCTTTCTCCATATAGATGAGACTGTTTATTGTCCTTCTTTAAATGCTGCCCTATGGGTAATTGCCATTCCCCTTTCTGTGTGTTCCTGCCATCTGGTACTGCTAGAACCATCTTAGACGATTTGGTTTCTATATTATTATGATCACAAATATCCTCCTCCAAGGCATTTATTTTCCACAGTCCAGTACTTGTGGTGCTCTGGTGTAATTGTAGTAGGAGGTAAAGTTGTATTCCCTTTGTGTAAAGCCACACACAGGTATCTCTTACATTTTGTCACTTCCTTTGCCATTATGAGGGAAACCAGGCTTCTCTTATTTTTGCCACTCTGATGGACCTGGTAATACCTTTATTTATCACTTATACTTCAGACATGTTGCTATAACCTTTTTTTAAAAAAAAAAAGTTTAAAATGAAGAAATAGAAAAGATAGGCTATTTCAAATTTCTGGCTTCTCTAATTCTTGACCTTTTCAGGGTTTTATTTCAGAATGTTACTTAGGTCAACATTGACATTTCTTGTGTCCTGTCAATTTGAATGGCTTCTATTTAATTTTTTTAATTTCTTTTTCTTTTCTCTTTTTTTTTTTTTTGCAATACTGGCGTTTGAACTCAGGGCTTTGTGCTTGCCAGGCAGATTCTTTACCATTTGAGTCATACCCTCAGCCCTCTCCTATTTAATTTTTGAGAAAGGAAAAAAAGCCTTTTCTTCTATGGGATGATTTAAAGATGTATTGAAGGCTTTCATATTAATTAGGCATTCGTTCCTTTCCTCAAAGAATTAACATGCTCAGATTTAGAGTTTACCTCTATTTGCTGGTCTGGAAATCAGTCCTTTCTGTATTTCGTGTAATTTTTAACTTTCTAACCAATAAACTTGAAATCTTTGAAATTGGCTGATAGTTAAAGCACTAAATTTCCGTTAACTTGCTTGATCTTCCCACTGATCTGTTATTTATTTTTAAATTGTTAATATTTCTGTACTTGAAGACAGTCTATACTTATTAAGGTTTGGGGATCTTTGTTCATAATATGTGCAAACCAATCCCCAGTGACAGTGTTTTGATGGTGCTGTCATCTCAGATGCCAACTTTTACCTGAGTTTTGCACTGTAAGTCAGTATTCTCTTTCTATAAACCCAGAAGTAATTAGGCATTTCATCATGAACCAGAGAGCCTAAAAGAAACAAATGAAAGCCTCGACAGTTAACTTTTTTTCTGCTTTTGCTTTTCTTTTGTTTTTCATCTGGTATTTATTTTAAAAGTAAAATATCAAGTTGACATGTTTTGAATAAATTTCAGATAATTTCAAGTCCTGAAAGGTGGTATATAGCAGGGGAATATTTGGCTTTCCAATTTTATGACAATGGAAGGTTTTTGAGAACCTTGGCATGTGACAGTTGAAAGTGGCATCTCTCTAGGCACAGTTTCTTTCAGAAAATGTTCTATAATGTTTGAATTTGAGCAAAAGAAGGCAGATTGGGATCTGAGGCTAGGGGAGTTGTCTCTTTCTTGACCCTAAATTAAAAATTGCCCCAACACATGCAAATAAGTGGCACCATTCACTTAAAACATGTGAACATATGATTTATAATAAGTAATTAAAAAACCTATAACTGTCTGGACATGTTCTAAATATCTCACTGTAGGTGTGGTCCACTAATCGACCTTTGTAAAGGCCCTCATGTAAGACACACTGGAAAAATTAAAGCCATAAAAATTTTCAAGGTAAGAATCAATTTTTTAAATTTATAAATACAGCAAACAAAGTGAACTAGATGATAAAGGATTTCAATCATATTTTTATAGTTTGAACATCATGTTTTAAAATACTTCATTCTCAACTAAAAGTAGTATATTTTAGAATGTTGATAATTATTACACTAGATGTAACTTTTGTTTAACATTTAATCCTACTGTGTTATACTTTTCTTTTTCATAAGATTTTTGGAAAGACTATTATTTATAACAGCTGTTCATATCCTCAGGCTTTGCATCCATAGTTAACCAACTGTAGAATGAAAATATTTTTTAAAAATTGGTCTATATTGAGCATGCACAGCCTTTTTTTGGGTCATTGTTTCCTAAATAGTGTAGTATAACAAATATACACATAGCATTTACTTTGCGTTAGTACCATAGAGATGATTTAAAGGATACAGAAGGATGTGTGTACATCATGTGGAAATACTGTGCCATCTTCTGTAAGGAACTCGAGCAAACATGGATTTTGGTATTCATGGGAGGTCCTGGAACTAATCCCCTGCAGATACCAAGGAACACCTGTATTGTAGGTCCCTTGAATTGCCTAACGTGAGCAAAAACATTTGTCTGCCTATAAGAATAATGTACTGTAGGAAAATGAACAAACAAAAGAATATGATGTAATACTAATATAATATGTAATATGGTATAATTGAGAAAAAAATTGCTCTGAGAATACAGAGGTATAGGGCTGAGTTTGTTGTCCCAGCCTTTCTAGGCCTTGGTTTCCTCATAGGTAAGATGGACTGGATGACAGTGTTACTCAGTAATGCTCTTAGCTCCTGAACTTTGATCAGTAAGGTGGATCTCCCCTTCCCCAACCTTCTGCCTCTTCCACCTTCATTGGTGATCATAGTTCTTCAAATTCCCCTTTCCACGCCCTCTCACTTCATTCCTGGAACCCAAGCAGATGCTTAATTCAATCATTAGTGGTAGAATTTGGGCTGGAAAGGTTTAATTAGATCCAATTTCAGATTATTTCTAGTACCACAAAAAGTCTTCTGTCAATAAGCAAAATGGATGTCATTTAAGAGTGGTGCTGTTGATAAGTTTACCAAAATCTTGTTTAATGTTTAGAATTCTTCCACATACTGGGAGGGCAATCCTGAAATGGAAACATTGCAGAGGATCTACGGGATATCGTTTCCAGATAATAAAATGATGAAAACCTGGGAAAAGTTCCAAGAGGAAGCCAAGAACCGAGATCATAGGAAAATTGGGAAGGTATGCCCCACCTCCTCATTGCTACTGAGCCACAGCATTCCTTTGTTGCCATAGATTTTTAACAATAGTATTTCTTCTTCTCTCCTGTCTTCTATTTTGCTGGCACTTATTGTCTGCTGTTGAGGTTTTTCATCTAAAACCCTTTTTCCTTCTGAGAAACTTTTATTAGATTTTTTAAATTGTACCTTTCTTTTAATCATGATCTAAAAATAAAGGTATTTTTAAAATCATGTATACATGATAGCATACTATAGGAGCTAAGCAGTATGAGGAAAGACTGAGATTTGAAGTCAGTTGGACCTGGGATTTCAATCGCAGTCCTGTCAAGATTGAGCTGTGTTGTTATGGGCAAGGTATTCACTTAACTCGCCTCTTTTGCTGAATAGTCTGTTGGATTCACAGGGCTGGTGTGAAAAGACACTGAATGATGGTGCCCAGCACAGGGAAGGCTCCTAGCAGGTGACAGCCATGAAAATGGTCACCATCACTTAAAGCCCACCTCCTGTAGTGAACTTTTCTTGTCTTTTTTTTGTCATATGTTCTTCACACAAGTTCTATATTCTAAGTGTGCCAAGTAAGAAAATTAGCAGTGAGTAACAAATGATGGTAGAAAAGTCAAGTTCAAGGCTAGGTAACCATAAATATGAATTGTAATGTTGTATATGATATTATATATGTCTAGGGATAAGTATTAAGGGATTTTGAAGTGTCTTGTATTAGAATATGAGAAAATAACTGAGCATGACATGTTTTATTCCTAGTGTATTGTGTGTGTGTGTGTGTGTGTGTGTGTGTGTGTGTGTGTGTGTGTATGAGAGAGAGAGTGAGGAAGTCACAAGAAATGAAAGTTGAAATGTGATTACTGTTTCTGTCTAGGAACAAGAACTTTTTTTTTTTCACGATCTAAGTCCTGGAAGCTGCTTTTTTCTTCCCAGAGGAGCCTTCATTTACAATACTCTTATGGATTTCATACGAGTAAGTTTTTAAAATATTTTCTTTTTTTCAACTACATTTAACCATTTTCTTTCACAATCAAATGGTTGAGTATTTCTACTAATTTTATTTTAGCAGTATAAGAATTTTGAACCTAAAATTAAAATATGGATTGTGCCTTCTAATAAAAGCATGGAGACGATGTCCATTTTCTTGGATTGTTCACGTAAATATCTAGAGCACATAGACCATGAAGATAGCATGAGATGAAGTGTGGATCTTGCTGTGAAAGAGGAAAAAAGAGAAAGTATCTTCTCTGGCCCAGAATGCTAAACTATGAAGCATTGCTTCTCCAAAGGTGGCAGTGGATTAGTGGTACACCTGTCTTATATATGGCATGACTGCCAGGTGATGTGGCACCTCCAGAGGAAAGAGTAAAAAACCATTGTGTAAAATACCTACCTATAATACAAGTTCATAGATTGGAAAGTCTTTAGTGTCTACATGATTAGGACTGTGCAGAGATGGTTCAGAGGTGGTCCATTTGGATTAGTACAAGTCATTTCCATTCTTGCCCCATTTTGTCTTTCCTGTAAACAATAGTTACAACAGTGTACTAAGTTGTGATGTTTTAGTCAGTGACAGACTGCATATATCATGGTGGTCCCATAGGATTATATCACCCATAATATGACTGGCACCTTAAGGTCCCCTAAGGTTATGTTGTCATAGCCATCTTAGTTTGGGTAAGTGCACTCTTTGATGCTCTCACGATGAAATTGCCTAGTGAAGCATTTCTTATAATGCATTCTTGTCATTAAGCAACACATAATTGTACCTCAGAAAAAAAAATTTTGTTTTGGTTTTTGAGACAGTGTCTCACTATGTAGGCCTCAAAGTCATGATCCTCTTGCCTCAGCTTCCTGAGTGCTGGGATTATGGACACCTGCTTCATGGCCAGCTAGAAATTTAATAACTTGATTTCTAGGTACCCTATCACTAACGTATCCTTAGACATTCTCTCAAAACTATAAAACTCTCTACAGCTTATTCCTCAGTGGTTCAAATAGTTGCTTAGTTTTAAAAATGCCCAAATTTGGGTCTCTCACTCAAGAATTAACTTGATGCTGAGATTCTTGTGGGCTGTTATTTTAGAACCTCTTTTCATCATCATTCTGGCTATTCTGTCATGTCTCTCCTGTTTTGAATTCCTTCCTTGCTGATTCTTGTCTTCCTTTCCTTGTTAATCCATATCTCCCTTTTGAGGGAGCACTTTCTTCAATAACTTTCTGATAAAAGATACATGGAATGTGCTGGTTATTCTCTGTTGCTTCATTAGTCTTGTGTTTCTTCCTTCTCCGGCACTGGAGCCTGAGACTGAGCTCTATGGACTCTTTGTCCCCAGTAGTAATGGGCATTGTGAGGCAGGTATAGGAGATTAGAGGGCAAGGAAATGAGACTTGAAGTATCACTGAAGGTTAGCAGAGATTTTGGCAGGTGGTGACCAGTCACACCCGCTTCTTTGGGTGTGTTATCTTTGTTAGAAAATTAACACAGCCTCTGGTACCTGGAACTCTCAAGATAAGGGGTAGAAGGGTAAAGAATAAACAGAAAGTCTTTGGTAGCCTCAAAGGGCTCTGTTGTTTTTCTGTAGATGCAAGACAGACATGGCTGATGATCAGGCCCAAGGCTTGATGGTGTGGGTTGTAGAATTGTAAGGACATTTAAGTACATAACCCCAGAGGCTTCTAATGCTAAGATAAGGGCACTGGTTGGGAAGGAATGGGTTACTGACACTTGGTATATTTGCCAGACACGGATGAAACTGAGCACATTGAATTCCCAGAAGAATTGGTCTTCTTCCCCTGCAAAAAAAAAGAAAAAAATCTTTCAGAGACCTCAGCTGTTTTTTCCCTTGGTTTTCAGTTCTGTGCCTTTGCCTCTTCCCACATGTAGTCATTTTTAAATCAGGTGGCAGATATTGTATATAAAATAACCATGCATTCAGTTCACCCTCTGCTAGGATTGAAGACTGTTCACACAGTCCAATCAAGAGATAGAACTGGACTATTTTAATAAGAATCTGTCTAGTTCATTTTCATCCTTGTTTCTAGGACATGGCCCTGTGGGTTTCCAGTTGACAGGCTGGTGGGTTTGTGTCTCTTAAGCCCTGAAAGACCAGAGGAAAGGAAATTCTGCCTTTCTAATGTGTACTGTTACTGAGTAACAAATGACTTCAAGTCTCTACGGATTGCCACATCACTCAGGATCTAGTAATACATCATCTGAGTGAGGTCCAAGTGTAGATGAGGTTTTTCTGGAGCATTTGAGGTTCTTCATGTGAAATTTCTTGGGTGCAGTTCACCAAGTGCATTCCTCACCATCTTTGGACCTGTGAACTATAAGATAAAAGTTACCTGATAGTCACCCGTTCTCCCTTTCCTCAACATTATAAAATGATGGTAGAGGAAAAGGATTCAGTAGATAGTTCCAACGAGGGGTGGAGAAGGTGGGAGGCACACAGTAGTAACCAGTTACATAGAAATTCTTTTGTCTACAGTTGTCTCTCTGTTACCTGAGCTCCCAGCCATAGAGCCTAGCTCTAGGTCTGAATGTTCACCTGCATTAAGAGAAAACATAATATATAGAGAAATGGAAAGTGAATTAATGCATTTACAGTTTTGGCTAGAACTAAGGAGAGAGACATTCTCAGTCTGTTCAATACTGCTTGTAGCAATATTGAAACTTCCAGAAAAAGATAAAAGCCAGGAACTACATCCTGGAAGATGTCTTTCTCCTGGCCTCAGGGATCCTGGTGTAGTCCATCCTCACTCCCAGAATGGAGCTTCCTGGAAGAATCCTAATTTCTAGCCTCCTCCTACGAAGTTATCCCAATGCCCGTTTCTATACCATCGATGAACTTAACCTGACCTTAAACTTCAACAAATGAAATTATGTGGTATTTGTTCTGAGTTTCTGGTGTTTCTTTTGTTCAACTTAACCTCTGAGGTTCATCCACATTGTGATAGTTAAGGCAATGTTTTGGTATGTTTTGAGGTATTCCATTTTATGAATATAGCACATGGTTATTCATTTTTCTGTAGGTGTTATTAGGTTGTTTCCAGTTTGGAGCTGTTGCATATGAAGGTGCCATGAATAAATACTTGTGCATGTTTTTATGCACATAAGTACTCACTTCTGTTAAGTCAAAATTGTAGGACAATTCTTTGGGACTAAGCTCCTGTACAGTTCCCAAACAGACCAGACTAAGAAATCAAAATGGAGTCACAGATGCTAAACTTTCACCTCACTTAACTGAAACAAAGCTGTTTATCTCACTCCAGAGAAACCAGGGTCAGAGATCTAATAGCTAGATTTCCCAATTGGCACAGTAATGAAGTTTCCCTGTTCTTTAATCCTTAAACAAGAAGTAACCTGAAATAACTAAGTGTTTACTAATCAGCTATTTTCCATCTCCTTGTCTTCTCCTTACAAGGAAAGTAACTTTGAAAAGACCATTCCGCTTTTAGCTTTTGTTTCTGCTCTCTTTAGTCTTTCTCTATCAAATGCCTTTGCTCCACTCATTAGAGCACTTACTTTTTTTTTTAATGAAGTGTTGCTGTGTTCTAGAGTAGAAAGCAAAACCAAGTGTGATCATTAAATTGTTGTAATTTTGTCCTTTGATGTTTCTCCTGGGTGTGTACTGAGAAGTAGCATTGCTAGATCATAGAGGGGTGTTTCACTTTTTGAGAAAATGCTGAATAGTTTCAGTGAGGTTGGATCATTTTGTATGCCTTCCAGAAATATCTGAGCACTCTAGTCACTCCACATCCTTATCAACACTTGGTGTTATCAGTCTGTCATTCTGGTAGACATAGTTGTTTTATTCATTTTCTATTTCCATGATGAATAATGATGTTGAAAATCTTCTCATATGCTTATTGGTCATTTGGATATCCTCTTTTGAAGTTCTTTAAATATTGTTTTCCATCTGGTCATTTGTGCTTTGATTACTGATTTGTAGGAGCTCTTTTAATATTTTGAACATGAGTCATTTGCTAAATATATGTATTTTGAGTATGTTCTTTTAGTCTGTGGCTCATGGGTTCACTTTTTTTTCTTGGTGGTACTGGGGTGTAAACTCAGGGTCTTGCACTTGCTAGGCAGGCACTTTACTATTTGAGTCACACTCCAGTCCAATTCACTTTCTTAATGATGTCTTTTGACTAACAGTCAAAGTTAAATGAGAAATTAAAATTAAACCTGCCGTGAGGTACAATTATACACCTAATAGAATGTCCTCTGCCCATCATATAAATGCCTGAGAACTGAGGAATTGTCAAGAGTGTGGTTAAGAATACTTAAGAATTCAAAATAGAAGGACTGCAAATTCGAGTTCAGCCTGGAAAATGTAGTGAAACTCAATCTCAAACAATAACAAAAAATGCAAAATGCCACAGACTACCATTCTACTGTCTGTCTCTATAAATGTGAGTAATCTAGGTATTGCTTATAAGTGGAATCATAGGGTATTTGCTCTTTTGTAATAAAGCTGTTTTTAAAAGTCTACTTTGATGCTAACATAGGCAAACCAGCTTTCTTATGTTAGAGTTTGCACAATAGATCTTTTTCCATCTTTCTATTTCCTGCCTATCTCTGTTTCTATATTTAAAGTATGTTTCTTGAAAAAAAGAATATTGTTGGGTTTCATTTTTTATATAATCTGACCTTTTATTTCTTGCCTTTTATTTCTGCCTGTGCCTGCTTCTCTTATGCCTCATCATCCTTTTGCCTGATGGAGGGTCCGGTTGGTTCTGTCGGTCACTAGTCAGGAGAGGGTTTACACAGATTCCCAGCAACACCAGGCTGCCTCGTGGACCACTGACCAATCCGGCATCAACAGCCTTTGGCTTGGTGCCGAGTCCTTGCGCAGTGAGTTGTGGCTGAGTGGTAGAGGTGTGCTGTTCTGAGCACAGTGGCCTGTGCAGAAGCAGTTCTCAAGGTACAGCCATTTTCTCGAGAACTAGAGCTGTATTTCTACGGAGGTCATGCAGGAGGCCAGGATGGCCTAATAGACAAATTCTTCTGGCTGAGGGGGAAATTTCAAAGCTCTGGGGAGAAATGACTTGCACTTAACGTTTAAGTAAAGGTGAGGTAGGTCTTGGTTATATTGGTTACCAAATGTAATGAAAACTGGTAGTGAATAAACAGATCTTTTTTTGTAATGCTTGTTGAAATTCTTGTCCCTTGCATTCTGGAATTTGTCCACCCACTGGTTCTTTTACCATCATTCTTACCTCTTTAAAAAAAAAAAAAACAACTTTCTATCTTAAAATTTAATACAGCAAAATTCACACTTTTTTTAATAATTATTTTTATGGTATTGGAGTTTGAACGCAGGACCTTGCACTTGCTATTCAGATGTTCTGTCAGTTGAGCCACACTCTTAAATTAACACTTTTTTGATAACATGCAAAACTGTGTTCTCAGCACAATAATTAAAATATAAAACAGTTTCATTGCCTCCAAAAATGACTTCCTGCTACCCCTTTAGAGTCAATCCCTCCCCCATCCTCAGTCCTAGGTAATCTCAATTAATTTGTTCTTCATCCCTAAATTTTTGGCATACAAATGGAATAATAATCATATGTAACTTTCTGAGACTGACTTTGTTCACCTAGGGCCCTTGAGATCCATCCTGGGCTTGCCAGGGTTTAATGACTGATATTGTTAGATATGGGAACATTTAAGGATTCCAGCCCAATTCTAGACATAGTCCTTCTTACTCCATTGTGTAATAGCAACACAGTTGTCCATAACAGTTGGGATCTTGGCCAGTGTAGAAAATCGTTCTCTGCCTGTTAGTTCTGTAGCAGAGGGAGTCCAGAATGAGCAAAGTATAGTCTCAACTCCTAACAAACATACCTGGGCTTTTTGGTGCCAGCATTGTTCCCTTGGGCACCAGGACACATTATTAAGAAATTATAAAGCTCTAGGGGTTAAAAAAAAAAGATCGTAAAAGTTTCCAGAGAGAAGAAACCAGAGACATAGGAGTGGGTGTCAGAGTGACAGTGAAATTTTCGGTGGACATCTAAGACCCAGAAGACGGTATTGTTGTTCTTAATTTTAAAATATTATACCATACGTTTTTGATTGTGGGAAATCTTTTTTTAACTCACCTAAAGTGTGGTGGTCTAGATTTCTGTCAGATGTCCCTTAAATGAATTGCAAATGTTGAGGATCAAGGAACAATCAAGAGAAATCACCAAATGAGTCTGTTGAAGAAAAAGAAAAGAAAGAAGTATAAATAAAATTTAAAAATGCTTGAAAAACTCTTTTCTCCTTCCTCAGTTATCTAATTAAGGAAACTTTTAATAGAGAGGGAGGGAGAGGAACCAACTTATGACTTACTAGATATTAGCTTGAATGTGATATAAATTAAAATTCTCAGTTTTATTTCTATATAAAACTAAATGGATCAAAACTGACATTCAGCATGGCATTTGGATTTATTGAATTATGAAATTACTTTCTCTCTTAAGTCATAGGGAAAAACCCTGTTGTTTGTCTAGAACGTAGAAGGACATTGAAGGTATAGTTACGATAATACAGGTTTCTATAGATACTACATTTTAATTACTAATTTCCAAAGAATTAAACCACTCTATACCTACATCATTTGTGTTAGCTTTTTTGTCCGTGTAACAAATACCTGAGAGAAGCAGTTTAAAAGCAGGAAAGATTTGTTTTGGCTCATGGTTTAGACCATGAGCTTGCTCCATTGTTTCTGGGCCATGGTGAGGCAGAGCATCATGGCAGAAGGACATGGACAAGCAAAGTTGCTCAGACAGGAAACATAGGAAAAGAGAGAGGCGTAGGATGAGATGCAGTCCCCAAGGACATGCTCCCATTGACCTTCTTCCTCCAACTAGGCCCCATCTCTGAAAGTTTTGTCACCTCACAATAATGCCATCCAGTTATGAATCCATCAATGGATTACTCTACTGATTAGGTCAGAGTTCTCATAACCCAGTCATATCTCAAAGGTTGGATTTACCATCTGGAGACCAGGCGTTCAACACGAGAGTGGGGGGACATTTCATATCCAAATAAATACACTAATGAATTTTTTACTGCGCATACGTAAATTGTTTTTTCATGTTCCACAAACCAGCACACCTAAAACTGAGCATACAGCATCGTGAATTGATAGAAGACATAACCTTGAGTGCTCTTTTGCATGGAATTATCTGTCTTAGCAGATCTTAACACTAAATGCGTTTGTCTTGAAGGAAGAATATCACAAGCGGAACTTCACGGAAGTGCTCTCTCCCAACATGTACAGCAGTAGGCTCTGGGAAGCCTCGGGCCACTGGCAGCATTACAGCGAGAACATGTTCACCTTTGATATTGAAAAGGACACTTTTGCCCTCAAACCCATGAACTGTCCAGGGCACTGGTGAGTATCAGAAGCAAAGCAGGTTTTGTATGACTGCATAGCACAGTTCATCATAATTGGCTTCTGATGTTACTAACTTGCTTTCAGGAGTGAAGGGACTCCTTTAATCTAAAGAGTGGTGGCCGCTAAGTCATTTTAACCAAGTTGTTTCATTCTAGAGAATGACTTTTACTTTTTGAAATGTTGATCTTCAGTAGGCATGGGATGTTAGCTGGAAACCTTTTAGTTTTTTTGTGCTTTTCAGAAGATAATATTTTGTACCAATTTTATAAATTATAATATCTGTCTTCCTAATAGTAATGTACTACAAGAATACGCATTTGCACAGTATTCAGTTCTTACATCCAACTTGGGTTATTATAGCCAGGTCAGTGAGGTGATAGTCAGTGGGTTACTGGGTTTCATTGATTCCAGAGTGTATTTCCCCTCTCCCACATTTCAACATCTCTGAAACTGGGACATGTTTTACAGTTAGTGACACCTTAACATTATGTCACAGTGTAAATCATAGGTTATTTCTTCCTTTGTAAACATAAAATAAAGGCACATTTTATAATTGATGCGGTCTTAGATTCTATGATTATAGTTATCATAAAGTTAGTATGCAAATTCAACTTTATAAGACAAGCAGAGTTTACATCTGGAAGTGACTAGACACAATTCTGTACACACACAATTCTACACACACACAATTCTACACACACACAAGTTCAGCTATGACAGTTTTATCTTGACAGCATACAGCATTCCTAGTACATTGACTTTAGAAGCTAACTGTTAAATCTCTCAACATTGAAGAAAACTCTGCTTTCTCATGAAGATAAAAGAAATTCAACTTTAAAATGATAGCATGTAAAATATATGTATATATATATATATATATATATATCTTCAACGTTGTAAAAACTGGTATGTAAATAATCTCCAACTTCTTTATTTCTGTTTATTTATTTATTGGCAGTATTGGGGTTTAAACTTAGGGTCTTGTGCTTACTAGGCAAGGGCTCTACCACTTGAGCCACACCCCTAGCCCTTTGTGCTATAGCTGTTTTTCAGATAGGTTCTCATGCTTTTGCCTGGGGCTGGCTTCAGGCTGCAATCTTCCTATCTCTGTTTCCCAAGTAACTGGGATTACAGATTTGAGCTACCACATCTGACTGCAGCCTCTTTTTGAACAGAAGGCAGAGGCTAAGCTTGCGCTCTGCGTTCTCTAAAACACTTGTGTTAACAATTTCTCAACTTACTTTCTCACTAGGTACCATTTAAAACTGGAATCTGTGATTCCAACTCCAGTTTTAGGTAATGCTAAGTGAAAATAGAGAATAATTTTGCATCTTCATGCTTTAGGATAAGGGACAAGAACACAGTGGCTCAGTGGCTATAGGAAAAGGAAAGTGGGTGCTTTCTGTAGAAGAGAAATCTTCCAGTTAACTGAGATCTTTAGTTGTGTGCCTCCCTTGCTTTGTTCTAGAAACACAGAGGTGATTATGACACAGTCCATTTCCTCACGGAGCTCATGAGCAAAGGAGACCAGGAACGTATAGATGGATAGTCAGTTACAAAAAGGTTAGGCCCGTGTTTGAGGTGTTCCTGGAGCCTGAGCAGAGACTGGCCAGCCCTGTCTGGGGAGGTATCCAGAGGGCTTCACTCAAGAAGTGGCCTTTGAAATGAATTGTAGGCAGCAGGTGGGGAGTCGGTGGGTGGATGAAGACAGTGAACAGCAGGGTTGTAACTTTAAAGTTCAGTAATTTTAGAAGAGGGCTGGGGATTATAGCTCAGTGGTAAAGTGCATGCTTAATACGTGTGAGGCCCTGGTTGATCCCTGCACCAAAAAAAGAGTAAAGAATAACAATTCATTGAAGAACAATCTTAACCTGATCTAAGAACCAGAGTGAGGAGTTTGCAAAACCAGAGGCTTGATTGTAACTGCTGGTGTTTAAACAGCACTCCTTTCCAAGCTCTGTCAAAGCTGTGTGCTCCTGCATCTTTTCTAGCCTCATGTTTGCCCATCGTCCCCGATCTTGGCGGGAAATGCCGATCAGATTTGCTGATTTTGGAGTTCTTCACAGAAATGAACTGTCAGGGACTTTAAGCGGCTTAACCCGAGTCAGGCGCTTCCAGCAAGATGATGCTCACATCTTCTGCACAGTGGACCAGGTAGGCCATGATACAGAGTAAATCACAACTGTCCAGACTCACACCTTAGTTCTTCACACCTGCTGAAAAATGTGCTTGGTCTCAGAGGACTCCTTCAGCTCCAACACTCTGTGGTTCTCTAATTTAGGTCATAGTATTCCATAGTATTCCAACATAAATTTATTCATCTTTTCTTTTGGCTTTCTTCACTTATTTTATTAACTTAAGCTCCATTAAGCACAATACTTTAAAGGATTTGGTGGATTTAGGGGATGTTTTGTTTTCAATATTGCTTCAAACTTAAGAGTTTACCTTCTCAATTCAAATTAAAATCATCAGGCAAAGAGTCAATCAAACACTGTTGAACAATTAGACCTGATTGACATAGAGGACAACAGAAGAATCTTCATTCTTTGAAAACACACATAGGATGTTTATGAAGATATTCTAGGCTAAAGTAACTCTCAATAAATTTAAAAGGATCTAATAAAATATTCTCTGACCACAATGGAATTACAGTAGAATTCATTAATATAAGGCCATTTGAAAAACCTCCAAATGTTTGAAAAATAAACAACACTCTCATAAAGGAGAGACCCAAAGGGGAATTAGCAAATGCACACATACAATGAAAACGCAGCACTTCACAAAGTGGGGGAAACAACCAAATGGTATACACAGGGATATTCAGTGCACTGAATGACTGTGGTAAAAGAGCAACTTCAGATCAGTCACCTTAGCTTCTACTACAGAATCCAGAAGCCAGGTGTGGTGGCATACACCCATAATCCCATCACTTAGGAGACTGTGGCAGGAGGCCAACCTGTGATATGAGTGAGAGAAGGAGAGAGAAAAGCAGAGGAAGGGAGGGAGGGAGAGGGAGAGAGAGACAGACAGACAGAGAGCAAGCGCAGAGGAGAGGAAGGCAGTGGAGAGAAGAGAGGAGAGGGGAGACAGAAGAGAAGAGGGGAGACAGAAAAGAAGAGGAAATTACGTACAGTGTAAGCCAAAGAAAGAAAATAAAGAACAGAGCAATAAATAGTTATTATTTGACCCTTATATGTCCCCCAAAAGCTCACATGTTGAAGGCTAGATCCCCAGCCAATGGCATTATTGGGAGGTAGTGGAGCTTTAGGAAGTGGGGCCTATATGGAGGAAGTTAGGTCATTGAGGGTATGCCTTTGAAGAGTATATTGGGACCCTGGCATGCGTCCCCTCCCCCTCTTCTAGTTACCGTGAAGTGAGCAGCTTTGCTCTGCCTGGCATGATAATCTGCCTCACATAGCTCCAAAAGCAGCAGAGCCGACAGACCATGAACTGAAACTGTGAGGCAAAATCTTCCTTCTTTTTAAGCTGATTTTCACAGGTATTTTGTCACCACATCAGAAAGTTGACTAACAGAAATCATTGATTAGAAGTCATTGAAATACAAAAATGAAAAATAATAGATTGTCAATGAAAAACAAAAAGTGATTTTTTGAGATCATCAATAAAATTGATAAAACTTTTAGTGAGACTTAGGGAAAAAAAGAGAAGACAAAAACTTAAAATACTTGGAGTGAGAGATGTGTCATTTCTGCAGATTCTATAGATATTAAAAGGAATACGTCAACTCAGATGAAATGGACAAATCTTTGAAAAGCACAAATTACCAAACTTCAAGAAGAAATAAATGAGTAATCCTATGTCCACTACAGAAATTAAGTTGATATTGGAAAGCTTTCTCACAAAGAAAATTTCCAGTCCCAGGCGACTTCACTGGTAAATTCTACAAAGCACTTAAGGAAGATGCAATACCATTTTGAGGCAAACTCTTCCAGGAAATTAAAGAGGAGGAAGTCCTTACTGATTTGTTCTATAAGGCTACCATTGCTCTGGTATCAAAATAAAACAGACATTTTAGAAACTAACCAGGTATGGTGGTGCACGCCTGTTATCATTGAATGTAAGAAGCTGAGGCTGAGGATCAAAAGTTAGAGGCCAGCTGAGATACTAGCTCAAAAAAAAAAAAAAAAAAAAGAAAGAAAAACCCTACAGTCCAATGCAATAAGCACAAAAGTGAAAGGTTCTAAACAAAGTATTAGCAAATTAAATACATTAATATTTAGAAAAGGGTAATTAATTGTAACAAAGCAGGTTACCTCAGAAATGAAGTTAGATCAACATCAATATTAACAAACTGAAAGAAAACACATCTTCCTGGTCTTGTCAGTAGATGCAGGAGAAAGCATTAGGCAAAATCCAACATTTGTCTCTCATAAAAGTTGCAGGGGCTAGGAACAGATGAGAACTTCAACCTAATAAAAGGCATCTATGAGAAACGTCACGTTAGCATTATAACAGTGAAAGCGAATGCGTTACCCCACGGTTAGGAGCAAAATGAGGATGTTACTACTTCTGCTAGTAATTATTGCAGTGGAGCAGCTCCGTGATAAAACAAGGCAAGACAAATAAAAAGTGTACAGATTGGAGAGAAAAAGTCAGACTATCTTTACTTGCAGATGATATGACCATCTGAGTCTTTGATGTCATCTGTAAAGAAAAGTTATTAGAAATAAGTGAAAATTTAAAAGTTGTAGTATGGAATATCAATATATAAAATCAATTTTATTTCTGTATACTAGCAATGAACCATTAGAAAATGAAAGTAAAGAATAATCTCTTAAAATACCATTAAAATATGATAAAACCTAGGATAAGTCTGACAAATATGTTGGTGTAGACTTAGTGGTGTTTCCCTAAACTCATATGTTGTAGCCCTAACAACCCACTTCTCCAGTATGATGGCATTTGGGTATGGGACTTTGGGGAAATAGTTAAGTTTATATGAGATCATGAGAGTGGGGCCCTCATGATGATGTAACATAAGGAGACACCAGAGAGCTGGTTACCTCCTTTTACCCCCTCTCTACCACATGAGGACACAGTGAGAAGGCGGCTATTTACAAGCTAGGAAGAAAACCCTCACCAGGGAACTAAATATGTCAGCACTTTGATCTCGGGCTTTCCATTCTCCAGAACTGTGAGAAACAAATTAGTTTAAATTTGTTAAAAACTCACAGTCTATGGTATTTTGTTGTGGCAGTCCAAGCTGACTAGTTACTGCATATGTAGATGATCTGTACAATGAAAATCATAAAACATTGTTGAGAAATTAAAGAAGTCCTAAAGAAGTGAGAGGATAATACTTTTTTCATCCACTGGAAAACTAAATACTATTAAAATGTTGTCAGTTCTCCCCAATTAATCTATAGAGTCAATGCAATCCCAACCAATATGCAAATACAACTTTTTTTGTAGAAATTGACAAGCTGATTTCAAAATTCATACGGAAGTTAAAATAACCTGGAAAAGGACAGAAACAAAAGACAGACTTAAGCCATAGCATATTACATTAAATGTAAATTACCTAAGTAAACCAATTAAAAGGTAGAGAGTAGATTTAAAAAAACCATGATCCACCTATATCTATCTACATGAAACACACTTCAAATATAACACTTAAAACAGGCTAACAGTAAAAGAATAAGAAAGATATATTATGCAAACATTAACCAAAGGAAAGCAAGAATGGTTATCAAATAAAATAGACTTCAGAGAAAATTACCAGAGACAGAGAGGAATATTATATAATGACAGAAGGGTTAGTTCATCACAAGAAATAGCTATCCTAAATACATGTGCACTGTGCAACAGCTGCAAAACGTGAGAGAAAAACTGATGGAATTGAAAGGAGAGTTAGATACATCTGCAGTTACAGTTAGCACCTTAAACTCTGTTCAACAGTTAACGGACAACTGGACAAACCATCAGCAATGATGTAGAGGAATTCAGCAGTGTTGTCAACCATTAATAGAACTGGCATTAATAGAACACCTGACAATAGCAGAGTACACATTCTGTTCAAGTGACCTTAAAAGACGCATACCAATATGGATCATAACCTGGACCATAAAACAAACCTCCATAAATTTAATATTTAATTTGTATTAATTTCCTTGGCTATGTTACTGCATAAAGCTAAAAGCTTAGCACTTTTTTTTTTTTGCAGTATTGGGGATTGAACCTAGGGCCTTGAGCTTGGCTAGGCAAGTGCTTTATCCCTTGAGCCATGACCCCAACAAAACCTCAATAAATTTAAAAGAATTGGGATCATACACAGTATTTCCTCTAACCACAATGGAAATCAAGCAGAAAGCACAGCACAGCAATAGGAAAGTCTGCAAGACCTACTGATTGCTTTCCCTAAATGTATTACTTCCTTAGTGATTTCATTCACTCCTGACTTCACAACATTTAGAATAGTGCTTAGCACACGAGCAGTTACTCTTTGTTAGTACTAGTCAGGGATCTCCAGAGAAACAGCACTAATAGGAGAGAGACAGAGATGGTAGGTAGGTAGGTAGGTAGGTAGGTGGGTGGGTGGATGGATGGATGGATGTAGATTTATTATGAGAATTGGCTCACATGATTATAAAGGCTGAGATATCCTATGATATGCCATCTGCAAACTGGAGAACCAGGAAGGCCAATGGTTAGTTCCCAGTATGAGGCCAAGGGCCTTGGAGCAGAGATGGGAATTACTGTGTTCCCTAGAATCCAAGGGTCCAGGAACCAGGAGCTCCCGTGTCTGAGGGCATTAGAGGATGGATTTCCCAGCTTTGCTCCACCTTTTTGTTCTGTTTGAACCTTCCACAGATTCCTGCCAATGTTGGTGAGGACAATTCTTCTTTACTTAGTCTCCTGATTGAAAGGCTAATCTCTTCTAGAAACACCCTTACTAAAACAAGAAATAATGTCTTTCCAGCCATCTGGTATCCCTTAGCCCAGTCAGGTTGACCCATAAAATTAATCATCACATTGTTAATGAGAGGATCAGTGTCTCTCAAACACATTTCCCCCCTGCATTCTAGTTCTAGCTCTTCTCTCTGGTTCATGTCACCATCATCTTCCCCGTCTTCCCCTTTTATACAATCTACATCTTGCTTGGTTGCTTTCTTTTTTTTGGCAGTACTAAGCTTTGAACTCGGGGCTTTTTACTTGCAAGGCAGGCACTCTTACCGCCTTAGCCACATCTCTACCTCTTTTTGCTTTAACTATTTTTTAGATAGGGTCTTACTTTTTGCCCAGGGCTATCCTTAGACAGTGATCCTCTTTCCTATAGCCTCACATGTAGCTGGGATTACAGGCATGAGCCACAATACTCACCATTATCTCATTCTTGAGTTACTCCACCAGCTTCCTAATGGGCCTCGCCTCTAGTCTGGACAATCTATTTCCATATTTCAAAAGAACAAATTAGGTCATGTTTATCCTTTGTCCCCTCCTTAAAAAAACAAAAACAAAAAAACCCTACTTTCATTGCTTCCTCATTGTTCTGAGGCTAAAATATCTAGACATGACCCTGGCTTTGAAGATGCTTTATTTCCTCTGGTCCCTGCCTGCATCTAGACTGATCTCCTGCTCTCCTTCCTTCTCTGCCCAACTTCCCACCATGTGCAGTTCCCTGACCCTGTCTGTTCCTCTGATCTGGACCTTCACTTTCAGAATTTCCTCTGCTCAAAATGGAAACTCAGTGTCCACACTCTACACTCCACAAGCACTCTCACTCACCCTCCAGCTGCAGCTCTGCTCTCGCTTTTTTGGGGAGCCCTCCCTCCCTGTCTCCTGTGCAGCTCCACTCTTTCATGTACAGTGCTTTTTCCTGCCTTTCTCCACCTTGCACTGGACACATGCCCAACAGCAAATAGGTATGCATGGAAGGGATGGATTGATGGACAACTGAAACTGTCATCTGTACTCTTAAAATCAGACTTTACCTGATATGAAGAGTTTTAAATGTTAAATAATCATAAATGAATGCAATTTGATCTATTTGAATATTTCTGTTGCCCTAATTTCAGATTGAAGAAGAAATAAAGGGTTGCTTGCAGTTTTTGCAATCTGTTTACTCAACATTTGGCTTCTCCTTTCAATTAAACCTGTCAACAAGACCTGCAAACTTCCTGGGAGAGATGGAGATGTGGGAGGAAGCAGAGAAGGTAAGGAGAAACCCAGTGCCTATTCCTCATCTTTGTCTGCCCGTGACCTGTGTGGGTACGCTGCGTGAACCTGACTAAGAGTGGCGGGGAATGAGAAGAAAGACACACACAGACATATAAACAGAAAACAGAAAGCTGGGATCAGGAGGACGGCATGTTCCTGATGGGAAACATGAGTGCCTACCTAAGCCAGAGTGTTTATTTTATTAGGTCAGTATAAGGGAAAGACTCAGGTAAAAATCAAGCTTTAACAATTCTTGATGCAAGGTGAAAGAATGAGGTTTGGTTGGCTAATTTTCCTAAGGCTAATGAAGCTTAATTACAACACATCAGTTCTGGAGTCATCAAGGCACGCAGGACACTTTATCTAAGGTATTGATTAATCTGGTATCAGGGAGTCTCCTAACAGTTCTGGTACTTTATCTAGTTTTGCATCAGGGGGCTGGTATGCGGACACAGCAGGTTGTATTCTTCCAGGAGATGTGAGAACAAAGGTCAAGACACCAGGTACTGGGAAAAATATGGTAGAAGAGGCTGTGCAAACTTCTACTGTGGAGAGGGTATGCAGACTCCATTATATCCCAGTCCATGGTTCATGTCTGGTCCCCAGCATTTGTCCATCTGAAAAATATCCAAGAAACTGCACTTCCTAGCAATTTTAAATCAGAAGCTCTAAGGTAAATATGCACATCATAGAGTGTGGTTATCCAGTTCACTTACAGCAGTGGTCTTAATAACTTAAAATTGTTTCCTACTTTAAAGTTATTTGCCGGTCACAAATAACTAGCATGATTTTTAGAGACATCCTCCTATTTGCAGTAGTTCTCTGTTTGCATAGTTGATTTTACAGTGTAATCTGTGGTGTCATCTGAGTGTGACTCAGAGTCCCTGGGTTGCCTTCCCTGAGCATAGATGCACATAGCTGGTGCCTGGGTCCCTTCATGGTCTGCCTGTAGTGTAGTGCTCACCCTCTATCCGAAGACACCCAGACTTGGATGTCAGGTCTCATCTTTGAAAAGCCAAGATTAGGTAGTATATTGTGTACTTTTTTTTCCTTATTAAACACAAGAAGAATATAATATGTTTCTGTGTCAGTTTTTATTATAAATGAGGATGGTGTTATGGCCAGACACTTTGCTCTGCCTGTCAGTCCACCTGTCTTGAGAATACTCCTGGGAGCAAAACACAGCCATAATGTGGAATAAGAATCAGGGAACCACTGTGTTAACAGTTTAATACAGTGAGTGTGGTGGTACACACCTATAATCCCAGCTATTCAGGAAGCAAAGATTGAAAGGATCATAGTTTGAGGCTAGTCTAGGTGAAAAAAGTGAGATCCCATCTCAGTAAACAAGACAGGAATGGGTGCACATGTGTATAATACTAGCTGTATGGGAGGTGTAGGTAGGAGGGTTGAGGGGTCCAAGACTGGTCCCAGGCAAAAATGGAAGACCCTCTCCAAAAAATAACTGAAATAAAAAAGAGTTGGGGAGCATGGGTCAAGTGGTAGAGTGCCTGCCTAATAAGCACAGGACCTGAGTACTGCCAAAAAAAAAAAAAGTAACAGTGTAATAATTACTTTTATGTCATGAATAGTACAGAGGTCAGGCAGAGATGTGTAGAAGCAATTTAGGCTTGAGGTTTAAAGAGGGCCTCCTCTCCACTGCCCTCTTGCCTATACTAAATTCTTCCTCCATGTCTACTGCATGGATGAAAAAGTCATGAGGTAGCCTACCCTAGGATGGATGCTGAGTCAGTTTACCTGCCGGTCACATGGAAGCAGGAAGAGGAAGATTGGCTCAGAGCAGTGTCGCCTCTTTTCACTTCCGCCCTTGAGCATCATAGTCGAGCATGCGATGGTGACAATGGTGGCAGGGATCATAGTGACAACACCTTCTTCATAAGGCCATGGTGAGCTTCAGAGAAATAATTTATATGAGATGTGGGCACAGTCCCAGGCTCAGAAATGCCCGCTAGGCGTCAGGTATTGGTGTCATTGTCATCATTCCAGTCATTTGGAACTTGGTGGGGTTGGGGAGCCAAAAGAGGACTGGAACAGGTATGAGTTAGGCTTGGGGAGAACGGACTTAAAGCCTGTTCTTTTTATAACTGACATGGCTAAATAGTGCAGCAGCCAAGCCCATTATTACTCGGGAACATGACAGCACCATTGAGAGAAGAGCCTTCTTTCTCATTGATCTGGGAATTAGTGACAGGAACATTTGAGGTGTGATTGTATTTCCTTGTCATCACAAGTCTCTGAAGTGGTTAATAGAAGCATACCTTACATAAACCTTAAGGTTCCTCAGCCCTGGCTTCTTAGCCTCACCTGCTTGAAACCAGATCCTAATTGGGACCCTAGGAAAATGTCACAGCCCCAGGAGTCAGCTCCATGGCAACTCCAGCTGCAGCTCCAAAGCACCACCACTGCTTTGACTTCCCCAAGAGGCTCTTTATTCCCGATGTCAGCCCACTCCTGGGCACAGGATGTTGGGTGATGACAGACATCTGGGTGGAATGATAGCATTCTATCCAGATGCTTCCCAGTCATAGGATTGCCAGGAGACTCCAATCCAAGGCCCCTTTCTTTTCTTTTTTCTTTTCCTTTCTTTTCTTTCTCCTCTCTTCTCTCTCTCTTCCTCCCTTTTTTCCTCCTTTCCTCCCTCCTTCTTTCTTTTCTCTGTTTTCTCTCTGTTCTTTCTTTCTCTCCCTTCCTCCCTTCTTTCTTCCCTCTCTCACTTCCTTCCTTCCTTTGTACTGGGATTTGAACTTAGGGCCTTATGCTTGCTAGGCCCGTGCTCTACCACTTGAGCTACTCCTCCCACGTGGCCCCTTTCCTTAACACCCATCTGGACACCATGCACCATCAGTGCTGAGTACCTTCACACAAACTACATTGAAAGTATTCAATGACTTAGGCTGAAGACACCCCTGTAAATCATAAGGGATAGATGCCTCCGCAACCCCAAGAGAGGAGGAAGAAAAGCAACAGTTTTGCAGTCTTGGGGTCTTCTCATTGTATGGAGAACGGAGCAAGGTCAAGGCTTTCAGGCCTTTCCATGTGTGAAGGCCCCACCCACAAAGAAAAAAGGGTCTTAGACCTCTCACCAGGAGGCAGAAGATATCAGTGTGCAGGGAAGAGGGGCTTCCACTAGAAGGAGAGACCAAACATCGGTTCCCTAAACCCTTACCTGTTGATTCCCTGGAACAGTTTAGTTAAATTGTCTTTTTTCCCCAGTTAAAATGTACATACATTTCTTGAGAACAAGTACCATCTAAGCATCTAATGTAGCCCCTACTCTGTAGTTTATTGAACATAAAAGATGTGCAGTATGTATACATAGAACAAAGGTAGAATGTAATTAAGATTTGTAGTAACTTATTTTTGTGAGCTCAATGACAAAAGATAAATATACAATAAAATAGAAGTTTTTAATGCTTTCTTCTTTAAAAATAGCAACTACAGAATAGCTTGATGGAATTTGGAAAACCATGGAAAATGAACCCAGGAGATGGAGCATTTTATGGCCCTAAAGTAAGTATACCATATGCTTATTTAAAAAAAAGAAAAAGAGTAAAATTTTTTAAAAAGACTGTAAGCAAACTTCATTTTCTTTGCAGATTGATATAAAAATCAAGGATGCTATTGGCAGGTATCATCAGTGTGCGACAATTCAGCTGGACTTCCAATTGCCCATTAGATTTAATCTCACATATGTTAGGTGAGTAATTGAATATGGTAAGTGCTGTAGCACTACTGTCCTAATTTGTCAGTTGAGTATGAGTAAGCATTAGCTTCTGTGTATCTAGGATGTGTGCTAGCTACTCAATATATGTTTGTTTACTTATAGTTGGGGATTTTCTTCATCTGCTTTGTGTTGTTGTATCAAAATACCTAATGTTTATTTGGGTCATAATTCTGGCAGCTGAAAAGTCCAAATAGCATGGCATCAGCCTCTAACAAGCTTCCCTGGCTACATCTCAGCATGGCAGAGAAGTGCAAAGGGAAATGACTATGTGTAGAAGGGGCCAGCTCTGCATTATTACAACACACCCTCTTGGGAACTAGCCCAGTTCTGTGAGAAGTACTATTCCAAGAGTGATGCTTCTATAACTGATCACCTCTGGGCTCCACTCCTATAAAGATCCGCCACTTGTCGGGCTGTCGTATAGCCTCATGTTAGAGCACGCGCCAAGAATGTGTAAGGCCCTGGATGAAAAGGCTCCCTGTATTTCTTGTTCTAAGAGTCTTTATCAAGATTTTTGTTAAATCCTTTGTCTGCATCAATTGATGTGATCATGTGATTTCTCTTCTTTAGGCTATTCAGTTGGTGGATTGCATTGATTTAGAATATTGAACCAGCCTTGTATTGCTGGGATAAAACCCATTTGGATGGAGTGTCATCATATATTTGATTACCTAGTTCATTGAGAATGTTTGAATGTATTTACGTAGGACATTGGCCTGTAGTTTTCTTTTCTTGCACTGTAATTGACAGGTTTTAGTATCTGAGAATATTGCCTCATAAAACAAGTTGGGGGAGTGTTCCTTCCTGTTCTGTTTTCTGGAAATGATTATGTGGAGTTAGTGTTACTTCTTTTTCATATACTTGGCCAATGAAACCATCCAGAGTTGTAGGCTTCCTTTGGGGAAAAAATTTATTGGCATGTTTAAAATTCAATAATTTGTATAGAATATTTTCCCATTAAGATTCTTAGGATAAATGAATAACCACTCCTCATCCAAGGAGAAGGAGAAACAGGTCAGCCAGGCAGCCAGCCTTCCTAGGTGTGTGTGGACAGTGGAGAGAAGGAGAGCAGAAGTATAAGCAGCGGTTTGTAGACAGGTCAGAGATGAACAAATTGGGGTGTCTGGGGTGTAGAAGAGCTGCTGTGATTTGTTCAGGCTGAGTAGGGAGAGGAAGCATCAACATCATCACCATGATCATGTATGATACAAGGGAGGTTTACCCTGGAGAAGTGCATTGTAGCTCTCCATTGCACTCAGCCTTGCAGAAAGGCATGGAGTAAAGCTTAACATTCTTTCCTGTGAAGTGGCACAAAGAAATTTCCTTATTTTGAGGAACACTCATCAGAAAACAGCAATGACATCCCAACAGCATAGGGAAGGCAGTGAATATACATGATATTTGTACTGCTCAGAATTTCCCTGGAAGTACAAATAGTCAAAAGAAAGATTAAATTATAATTATGTAAAGTGTCTAGAAATCCAATAGAATCAAATGGATAAAAATTGGAATTCATAATGAAGTAAGATAGCTAGCAGTAAGCTCAAAGTATGAAGTGAGTCTACTTTCATATGGGTTAGCAGCAACTAGGAAATGCAGTGCAGAAAGACATTTCAGAAGCAACAAAATGCAAAATATCTAAAATGAGCTTAATAAAAATAGAAATGCAATATTTATATGAAGCATACGCCACAAAATTTTATCAAAGGCCATAAAGGATTAAGTGAACTTTGATGCTGCATTCTTGGAATGGGAGAATCAACATTGTGAAGATACTAATTCTCTTCAAATTTATCTATGAGTCATATAATCGTATCCAGATCCATTGGGATTATTTTGGGGGAACCCGACATTCGTTCTAATGCTTAGCATAGATGTATAAACATAGTTTATGTCACTAGTTTCCTTTCTTAAGTCTACAGCTGATTCAAATAGATGATGAGACGGAAAGTTCTGGATTCCCAGGGGCCTGCACAAAGGTCATGCCGCTTCTCTTTCATTCCCTACACATAAGCAGTATTATGTAACATTCAGGAATATTCCATACTGGTTTCAGTTTGTGGGATAGATGGTTTCTTCCTATGTCTGCTCAGATCTGAACGCAAACTGCTCCCCCCACCCCAAAGCTCTCTGAGGGATCTAGCCAGAGAATTTTGCCTATGGTTAGTCTATAATGGTCCTTAGCAGAAATGATCAGCAAAGATGATTTCCAGTTAAAACTCATTTCAACTGGGTTTAATGAATGTTTTGTTTTGTGTTTTAGTAGTAGCTAGCTGGTACAATTTTTAGATAAAGTTTTCTGAAAACAGCTTTTTAAAGTATCACAGATTACTTTTGTTTCAGTAAAGTGAAATTTATCTTTCTGAGGAACATATACATAGATCTTGGGGTGGCTTACTTAATTGCAATTGTAAGTTATAATTTGCTTTTTCCATTTCTTTCCATGGAGGGGAAGGGAAATCCTTCAATGTAAGATGCATGTCATGAAGGTTTCAGGTCTGTAAGGGGAGTTTCACCAGTGGACTTCTGGAACAAATACCAGGAACATTTTAAAAATGAGGCTTACAATGGGCAGTGGATAGTGGCAGGAATGAGGTGCACTGGATCAAACAAGATCAGCTGTGAGTGGACATTTGTGAAGCTGAGGGGGAGGGTGTGGGAGCTCACTACACTACTCTCTCCACTTTTGTATGTGCTTTCCTGAGGTCCAATACAAATGAATCTAAGCAGGCCAGTTTTTATAGGGTTCTATATTCATGTGTCCAGATATACAAGAGTCTTATTTTGGATCTTTATATTCATGAATTTAAAGAAATTTACTAGTATGTGTTTTCAGTGTTCTGTAATAAAAAGTTTTAGAGATCGATATAAGAAGATAAAGTTATTACTCAGCCTTAGGAAAATACTTAAATGTATAATTTTCATTTTTTAGTAAGGATGGGGATGATAAGAAGAGGCCTGTGATCATTCACCGAGCTGTGTTAGGATCGGTGGAAAGAATGATAGCCATTCTCTCAGAAAACTATGGGGGGAAATGGTAAGTGATACGGGGGGAAAAAAAGCTGGATGGCACTCATTCATAAAAATCATGTCTGATAAGATGAAATTGGTAGGAAAAAACTGGCATCATCTTCCTTATAATTAGCAAATGCCCAAACAGCAAGTGAAGAATTCGTGTTCATTTGCCAGTTCAGAAAACAGAAACAAAGAAAGCATGACAGTGTAACATGAAACCATACCCTTTGAGGGATCCAGTAGTAGTAAAGAGTTATTCCTGATTATTTTAGGACTTTCAAAGATCTAGAAGACTGATCAGAGGCAGGAAAACATATATCCTGCCTCCTGGGGTTCTGTACTATGTTGTCCTTCTATTTCCTTCAATCTGTGTAGTTTACCTTTGGGGTTCCTGGCCAGTGACTGAGGAGGAGAGCATGTAAACCTCATCTTGGGATGGCTGAACATACACAGCACTGCCCTCATTAGGGGCACCATGGGGAAGGAAAATGTCCTCAGACGGTGCATCTGGTGGTTCTCTCGGTCTGGAGGAAAAGCTGGCCAGAGGTGTGGGTTTACACTGATGCGGGGCTCTGCTTACTGTTTTGGCCACAGGAGTAGATATTTAGAAGTAATTAGATTGAAAAACCAGTGACATATAGATTTAGGGACGATGATGGCTCAGAATGGGTCATGAAGGTGGCATTGCCCAGCAAAAGGCCCTCCCTGTTGAGGAGTTTTTCAATATTCACATACTTGAGGACTCATTTAGTTGCGATGATCTTTTTTCTCCTAGTAATCACTCAGTGGTTCATAAATTGAATATGTGTGGGTTTTGCCCTACGTATGTTCCCTCACTGAGTTCCATCTTCTTGATAGACCACTTCTGAGGACTCATTTTGCCCTCAGTAGTGCTCAGTCTTATCTTACAGAAGGCACCGTAACCCAGTAGAGCAGTGAGCTACTTAGGATGGGCGGGGTGATTACATTGGATCCCTTATCATGCAAGGGTCAGTGCTGGAAAAAATAGTGACTTTCAGGGGCTGGTGGAGTGGCTCAAGCAGTGGAGTGCTTGCATGAAGGCCTTGAGTTCAAACCCCCAGTTCTGACAAAAAAAAAAAATAGTAAAAATAGCGTCTTTCAGTTTCTTTCCACTAAGAAGATAATGACTCTGGGTTTTGCTTTGCTCTTCTTTCCTGCCACGCTTCTGCCATCAGCAGCATGGAGAAACTTCAGTAAAGAAGTAAGGTGCCAGGCCAGCATTAGACTCACACTGTCCCGCACACTCAGAGGCGGGGGCCTCACCAGCAGTCACAGTACAAGTGCGGGGCTCACACATCCCAGGATGGTGCGTCGTGCAGCATACGGGAATGCTGCAGACCAGCAACTACTTGTAAAAAGTTTACTTGCCCTTCTACTTTTGAGAAATGGGCTGAGTGTCTGCTCATGCAGTGTAGCTGTCTTCAGAGTCTACTGCCCCAACTGCTGCTGTTGCCAGGCACAGTCCCTGCATCTCCCACTGTGGACATAGGGCACTGGCACCACTGCTAGGGCCACAGTCACAGATTCTCTGAAAGCCCCATGTTTCTGCATCATCCATGCCAGAAGGGATTCCACTTGGTGCCTTTTTTATATGCCACCTGTCACAAGTCAGCATGCCCTGCTTGTACATCTGACTGGTACGAACCTAGATCCCATGCACACATTGTAGCATTAATATTTGGGAAGGCTAGGTAAGCAAATTTCTGAGCAATAAACACAAGGTGGGAAATTTCCCAAACTGAGAATCTTCTAAAGGTCCTGGAATTCTATACCTATCCCTAATACTTCACCTGTGATCTTGGAGAAATATACTCCTATTAAAATTACACAGAAACCAAAAGTATAAATACGAATTACATATGCCATCCATTCGTGAGTTAATATATTTCTTTTCAGTTGGTGTGTTTTAAATAGATTGACATAGGTGAGGCACAGTGGTATTTTTCACTAGAATGGTAGTGGCGAAAGTGGCACAAAAACCTAAAGAGAGGTGGTAGACTTAGGAGGTACAGTGGGAGTCAGGAGATGTGCCAGTGCATAGAGAGTTCTTTATATCAAGAACTCAGGCACATTCCCCATGCTTCGTGCATCAACACTTCAGACACCTGCCAGGCTTGTGGGGGAAATGTCACCAAGAACTAAAAGTAGAAATGGCTAAATGAGGCTCCCTGAGGATGGTGTAGGACTGTGGATAGGGTAAGGCCAGAGCACAAAAGGAAACATTGGTTTTTCATTTTATTTCTGACTTTTATCATGTTTTATTATTTTTATCACATGTATCATTTTATTTCTGCAACTTAAAAATATATAAACATATACATTCATAGAGTCATCTGGGGATAGTCCCCTTAGCATTCCGTTCTGCCTGTACACGAAATTCATATTATGGTGAAGAGAAAGGTAAACGTGTCCCACATCAAACTTTGCTCACACCACTCTCCTTATTCTTTCTAGAACAGTAGCTTGTATTTTTATATAATCATGGGCTCACATGTAGTTGTAAGAAATAATAGGTCCAGCATAACCTGTACTCATTTTTCCCCAAAGGCAGTATCTTGCAGAATTACATAAAGTAGCACAGCCAGGAAATAAACATTGATGTGATCTATGTGCCTTGTTCAAATTTCACCAGTTTTACATGCACTCATTTATATGAGTGGGTGCATATGACTCCATAAGCTTTTGTCACATGGACAAACTGAGTAACCACCACCAGTCAGGATATAGAGCCGCTCCATTACATGTAAGGATCCCTGTGCTGCCGTACAGACTCTCATTCCCACTCTTAGTCACTCATCTTGCAACCGTGAATCTTGTCTCCATCTCCATAATTCTGTCATTGCAAGAGTGTTGCATGAATAGATTCACACGGTAGACAGCCTTTTGAGATTCCCTTTTTTTCACTCCGTGGAAGTCCCTTGAAAGTATCCATAAATGGATGATCCATTTTCCTGTTGATGGTGTTCCACGGTGTGGATGTACATAAGTGCCCAGGTGTGCACGTTCCTGATTAGCCTTCAATGTGTTTCAACCCACTCTTCCCTCTCTTTTCCTATCAAAATTCCAAATTGCTCCAGTTTACTCTATTGTTTTTTAGCTCTTAGTAATAGTTTGGCTTGCTCCCACACTATTCCACTGGAACTATTCCCTTATGAAGTCTTATTGTAAAAAAAACTTTGATTATTTTTTAATTACACAATAAATGGTCATTTTGAAATTATTTTGAAAATATATATTTTACCTATTTTTCAGGCCTTTCTGGCTGTCTCCTCGTCAGGTAATGGTCATCCCTGTGGGACCAACTTGTGAAAAATATGCACTTCAGGTAAAACCAGAGACATTTAAAGTACATAGTAACCTTGCCATGTATTTTCTGTAGATCACTGAATGTCATTCATGCTTTAAAAAGATCACTGAATGTCATTCATGCTTTAAAATATTACATGACTCACACATTAATTTAACAACTTGTTATTTCAGTGATAAACACATGAATTATCTATGTAGCTGTGTCAGAACTATTTTATTTAAAGCCTTTGAGAAATTGGTATTTAGAAACATCTTGTAATTAAATGATTCTTTTCCACATGGGCTCTTTTAGGGAAGAGCACTTTAGTATCTGTTATTCCATAACAAAATACCCTAAAACTTAGCAACTTGCAACAACAAATATTATCTCACGCTTTCTGCAAGTCAGGAATCTAGGAGCAGCTGAGTTGGTTGGTTCTGGAGCACTCTATCTCATGAGGCTGCTGTCTGTCCTCAGGGCTTGCCTCAGCTCCTCACCAGGTGGCCTTCGTGGATTGCCTGAGTGTCTCCACAGCATGGGAGGTGGTTTCTCCCACAGCAAGTGATCTGGAGAGATGGAAGCAGAAGGCTTTGGTAACCTAATCTCAGGAGTGATATGCCTGCACTTCCATCCTTCTCTGTGGGCCACACAGACCCAACTCTAATACAGGGTCAGGAGAGCTACACAAGGGTGTGAATGCCAACCATGACAGTTGTGGAATCTGGCTACCATAAATAATGTAATAATAAAACTATTCCATTTTATTCTAGGTATCCAATGAGTTTTTTGAAGAAGGATTTATGGCCGACGTGGATTTAGATGAGAGTTGTACACTAAATAAGAAAATACGAAATGCACAGCTGGCTCAGTATAATTTTATTTTGGGTACTTTAAGTTTGTATGTGTTTTTTCAGATGCCTGTTTTTTTGGTTGTGATTCCAAAAAAGCAAAATGAGGAATATGGTTCTAACTACTTGATTTTCACAATTTTACTGTTTAATACTTGTATACAAAGAAGAGTCTTGGGCCAGCTGTTCCTAGCTCTTCACATGAATCCTGTGGTAGAGTGTTGTTAGTGTTAGTTAACATCTTAAAACAAAATGGAAAAAAAAAGTGAAAATGATATCTTCAGTAGAATTATTACACTGCTTACATTTGAGCCACATAGCAGACCTGAAATATTTTCCCATTTTTCTGGTTTATTAGAAATCTTGGGAATTAAGTCTATGTTCCAAATTTAAAATAAGAAGAAAATTAAGTGGAAAAAATGTTCCACAGGCACATGAGTACTTGGATACAGAATACAAAACTTTAGCTTTAAAAATCAAGAGAAACTGCTAGTGATATGCCTCCAAGCATGGTATTGATATCTCTTGAAAACTGAAAGAATCTGTAGAAAGCAAAATAAATATGCATTGAGGTATCCTGCCAACAATTGTTCATTGATGTTTGATTCTAGTTAGTATTGTGATTTTTCAATCATGTTTGTTGTGGTGATAGAAATCTAAAATTAGCTTAGACAAAGATGGAACTTATTACAAGGGTACTGAAGTATCCTGTGATGTGAAAGGTAAAATTAAATAGTCAAACCATTGGAAGGGTAAGAATATCAACTCTTATCAGGACTTCTTCTCCCCATTTCTGGTTCCTGTTTTGCTCTGGTTCTTTATGCTTCTCTTGAATATCTACCTGACTCCACTTAACTGGTTTCTTCTTTCCATATGTGAGAAATATGGCTGCACATTTCTGCCTCATCTCACAATATGAGTCACGAGAGAGAACAAGCTTTCTCCCTACACTCCAGGGAGTTCTGGCTGCCTGGCACAGAGCAGCCATATGACACATCCTCTGACTCATCAAGTAGGACCGAAGGAGTTGGGGTATCTGTAAGAGTCCCGCTCCCATTTGTGCTCCAAGACCATAATACTGTTCTCTCAGGTGGACAACAGAAAATTGGATTCAAGTCATCCCTTCCCTCAAGACACTTAACCATCAGAGGAAGAACCTAATGGCCATTAGACCATTAATAGTGGGTGATGATTACTGAGGGAAAGTCAGGCATGGGTCATCAGGCTGCTACCATAGTGGCTGGCAAGTCATTGATTTAAAATGTTTATTTCCCTTTGTTTTCTACAGTGGTTGGAGAAAAGGAAAAGATAAATAATGCTGTAAATGTTCGAACAAGAGATAACAAAATTCACGGAGAGGTTCCAGTAGCTTCTGCCATTGACAAGTTGAAGAATCTTAAGAAGTCACACACACTGAATGCTGAGGAACACTTTGGAAGTCCTTTCCTTGTACTCACTTCTGTGTAACCTTGTTTTGACTTTGAAAATGTTTCTTAACCATTTAATATTTTAGTACTTCTTTGGAGAACTTTGGGCCCACTAATGGATCCACTCATGGGCTCAGTTGAGAAAGAAACAAAGTTTAATTCATTAATGTGTTCTGGGAATGATAAAAGGAGAAGCTTGGAAATTTTCAAGCAATATCAATGCTTTGGAAAACCTCAGTAGTGAAATGATATTCACTGAAAGAAGGAAACATAGAAAATGAGGATTATGATTTTTGATTTTTAAAAGATGGCCCTCAGTACCTCAGTGGTAGTGCACTTGCCTAGCATATGTAAGGCCCTGGGTTCAATTTCCAGCACTGCAAGAAAAAATAAAAGAGGGACTCAAAAGTCCACAATCTTTTTGGGATACAGGAGGAAATCTTATTTTCTAATAATGTCTCAGGTGTTTATATGGCTGTTTTACTAAAATTCACACTGAAATTTTATGTCCAAAGTTGGAATAATTTCTTAATTTGTTTTAAGAAATCAGAAACCATAAACGAAGCTGTTAGCACTACATATTGGATTACTGACAGGCTCTGCACCTTGAAGAAGTTCAGTGTGGTGGAACCTATTTGCACTATAGGTTAAGAGTTGCAGTTTTAATGCTTCTAATTCATAATTGAGCTTTATTAATCTTTAGAAAAAATGACTTCCCAAATAAAATGCATCCCACACACTGTTTCCTGTTTCCAGTCTTTCGGCTCTGAGCTTGTACCACAGTAAGCTGATCACCTACACCTAAATACTTTTTTGGGATGACATTTATAGACCCAAATGGATTTCTGATTTTAACTGAAAGGTAGTATCTTACTAGCTTAGAACCAAATTAAATTGTTTTCTGCTAGTAGAGAATTTAGTTACCAATCAAGTATTTATTGACTATCTTAAGTGCTACAAGAATCCAAAATAAATGGAAGAAAGTGTCTCTTCAACATATTAATCATTTAGTTAGCTTTCTGGGGGACATGAACAGTGAAACAGTTGGTGAACAAAAGTGCCATATATCAGACCTTTGTAGTAAAATGTCAGATTGTGATACAATTTTTGAAACTAACATTTATTGAGAACTTACCTGTGCCAGGCACCACTGTTTTTTTTTATCCATCAGATGAAGTGAGGGAGTGGGGTTTGGAAGACCCCATCGTGGGAGTGATCCTGCTGCAAGCAGATGGGAAGAGAAGCACCTCCATAGTGTACTTCCTATGAGGGATGCTGTGATGAGAACAGGTGCAGGTAGCCAAGAGCAGTCCCCTCCCCCCATTGCTGACCTTCTTTCAGGTGAACATCCCACACCTTGCCCCTGTCCCAGTCTCTGGAGGCCTGTCCTTTAAGTACTGCATATACCTAAAAAGCCAGTGGTCAGGCCGAAAGCAGGTCAAGAGCCTGAGTCCGGGTGGTGGGGGGGGGGGGGTTGGTGCCTGGACTGCCTGTCACACCTGATGGGTCATTCATGTGCTGTTCAGGCCACCTCCCTCACCTGTAAATAAGTAGAGAATGAAATGTTGTGACTTCATCATGTTACCAGAACCAGTGACATTCTAGGGAGGAGATCTCCAAAAGTCAGTAGGCTTCCACCTGACCCTTGAGTACTAAGTTCTTAATGTCACAAAAAAGAACTTTAGGACACATCAACATAAGAGACCAAGGAAGTTTATTAGTAAAGCAAGGCAAGGCAAGAAAGATAGTATGAGGCCAGAACTGGGTGCGGGCACATCTGGTAACTGGTGCAACCAGTGCTCTAATGGGTATTTATGGTTAAAAAAAAAAGGTGGGCTGGGGGTTTGGTTCAAATTTGCCTTAGGAAAGAGTGCTCCTCTGTGCTGATAGCTGGCTTTTTTTTTTTTTAATCATTTTTTTCTGTTACACTGTTTTATCAGTTTTGGGCCCAGAGACTTCAAGGTTGGCCTGCTCATTAAATTTGAGTCACTATAACATAGATGTTGAACATCCCTGTAAACAAAGAATGGGTCCTGTGTGATGCTCCCTACTTATCCCTTGCGATAAGTATTTTTCTTCGTAGACTCCTTTTGTGCCCACAGGAGTCATTTTCCCAAGAGTTCTTTCCCAGGATAGCGTTTTTCTTTAAGATACCCTTATTCTACTCTCAGAGCATTTTTGGGCAAGGGGGCAAGGGCAGAGGGGAGAGGGTGAGAGTGCTGCTTTTTCGTTTTTTCTTTTTAGTAAATGTTGCAGTTTGTTGAGGAATGTAAGGTTGAAAGTTACCTATGGTTAAATGAGCTGCTTATTACTACAATATTTATTTATAAATGCCTGGCTGCTGTTTCCCATGCCTCAATATCCTTGGTGTATCCTACGTCAATCAACCTTTCCACGGTTCCTAGCACACAGCAGCCATTTTTCTCTCCAAACATACACATCCAGCCACATAAAAATGATAGCCAACGTCCAGCCCGTGTTTTTGGTCCTCCGGGAACCTTTTCCCAGGCTCCAGCAGTGGAAGGAGCGGGGAATTTTTTCGTCAAAGGGCGTGGTGTGATGTGTTTGGGAGCTGAGCAACTTCACGGGGTTTTCCTGCCCAGAGGGCGATGCGGAAAAGAAGTGCACGTGGGACAAGCGGCGGAAACCCAGGGAACCCTGCCTCTTGCTGTCCGCAGCTGCAGTGCGCGTGCGCTCTGGGGCTTGGTCGGACACGCCCCTTTCAGCGCCTGCCCTGAGCCCCGCCCCCCTACGGCGCATGCCCAGCGGCACCTCCCACCCCCGGCCCGGAAGTGTGCGCGCGCCGGCAAGATGGCGGCTGCGGCGCGGCAGCTGCGGGCACTTTGCTACTTGGGTCGCGTGCTGCTCTTCCTTTCACAGTTCTACATTCTGTCCGGCAGCGGTGAGTTAAAGGTCGGGGACCGCGCCTGGGAGAGCCGAGTGACAGGAAGGTCCGGGTGCTGTGGGACGCCGTCGGGCCCAGGGCGGCGGGCGGAGGCTGAGTGCGGGGAGGCGGGTGCGAGGCGGGCGCCGGGGTCGCTGCAGCCTTGACCCGAGGCCGCGTCCCCGCTCAGCGACACCTGCCTCCCAGCCCTCTAGCTGTCCGGGGGCGTTGTGGGGTTCGCCCGGCGAAGCTTTGTTCCCCAGGTGCCTGTGAACCTGAGTCGGTGCCGGTCGACCCAGCTGCCGTTTCGGGCTTTCACGAGCGATTATTGCTTGGTGTAGTTGATCCGCGCGTATCGATCGCACAGCCCAAGGTGTCACGAGCCGGCAACATGCCTCTCTCATTGTGGGACCCTTAACTTTGGCGCATTCACAGCCGCTGGTTCAGTCAGTAAAGGACCCGGGCCCTGCCCGTGCGTCCACAGCAGTTCCCAGGGCAGCAGGTGCTAGGCATTTTCGATTCTAGCTAAATGTGCATATTTATATCGAGTAGTTGCTGGGGTTTCTTATGATATTTCTTGTAGTATACCAAGTCATTTTCGTCTTTAATTGTTTGACGCGTTGCATTTTAGATTATGTGAATTAAGGACAAAGACACAGCCATTTCCCTCAGTAAGTTTGATATTTGAATGAATACCTTTTAATATCCCTGCCTCCGTCTTTATCCAGTCTCACGCTCCTCATTTTCTGTCTCCAGATGGCTATTATTTTTCCACCTCCCCCATCAAGTACCCTTTAACCAGTGCAGCTTTCCCCTTCAAAAGTTGTTGTTTGTTACTTGTAGAACTGCGTTCCTGATGTTGGAGACTCTTGTCCAGTGACAGCACTGTGTGCTGTGCGTGGATGGGAAGGATGAGAGAGGCACTGACCTGCAGTCTAGTCTGGTGGTGTTATTCTCCTTGGGCCCTTGTTTGCTTTCTTAAAGGCTGCTGTGAGGTTAGCCTGGCTGCTTAAAGCCTTTTCATAATTGTGGTTCTAAGTGTCCAGCTGCCAGCCACATAGCAATAGGAACAATAGAAAAGGAAATGGTCTTTGTAGAGTTGGCCACTTAAAACCATGACAGTAAGAAGGACCAGTTTCAAAGAATTGTTCTTGGGTGTGATGACTCACGCCACCCTAGCTACTCTAGAGGCAGAGATCAGGAGGATCTCTGAGTTCAAAGCCAGCTCTGGCAAATAGTGAGACCCTATCTGGAAAATACCTGTCACAAAAAAGGCTCGTGGAGCAGCTCAAGGTGCAGGCCCTGAGTTCACGCCCCAGTACCAGGAAAAAAATTAAAAAATTGAAGAATGGGTGTGTTTTGCAAATTGGCTCTGTAGTGTCATCCTTTAGCATTCATTATCTCAGTGACTTGAAACTGGCAGAGAAGTAAAAACCATCCGTGTACTTGAATTTAAAATGTGTATTGGTTTCTCGAGAAAGCACAAAAATTCTTGTCTCTTGCATGTTTTGAAAGCCTCTGCCCTCAAGAATATTTGCAAGTTTTATTCTGTCAACTGAAAAAATATATTGCAGACCTGGTTGGGTTGGCTGGAAAAAAAAAAGTTGCAACTTACTGAACAAATTATGAAAATAGGATTAATTTTTTTTTAATTTTGGTGAAATAAAAGTACGAATGGCAGCAAATTATGGCTTATGAAGTACCAATATGGAATAATGACAAGAGTGTTTTTCTAGAATTGGAGCCCTGAGGGTATCAGAGACTTTGTTTCCCAAATCAGTGAATTCAAGCAAAAAAGAACATTGGATTGGAAAGGAGAGATTTGTGTTCTGGTTCCAGTTTTGTCACTTAACCTTTCCTGGGATTTTTCATAAACTACCGTGTCTAGACTTTAGGGTTTTTTGTCTTATAAATGGTAGGTTTCGTGAACCTTTAACTTGTACCCAGTATATTCTCTGCATTGTTTGTACATTATCACCTTTAGTTTTCGTGGCCATTTGGGAAGCAGGGATGAAATACCATTGACAGATGTGCTGTCTACAGAAACACACAGCTGGCTGGGGGCAGAACCCCTCCTTAATTATAGGTGTCTCTGACTCTCGATGCTGACTTTGTGCTTTTGGCATTCTGGTGCGTGTCTCATTGCTAATGATTGTGTCTTCATCTAAGAAAATTGCCTTCATCTGTTACCGTGATCCGTAGTAAAGAGAATAAACTGCTTTCTCTCCTTGCCTCTCACAGAAAGTACTGAAATCCCACCTTATATGATGAAGTGTCCAAGCAATGGTTTGTGTAGCAGACTTCCTGCAGACTGTATAGACTGTGCGACAAATTACTCATGTGTCTATGGGAAGCCTGTGGCTTTTGACTGTGCAGTGAAACCTTCTGTTACCTGTGTGGTGAGTATTGCAGTTGTTTATTCTAAGTGAATGCATTTGTAAGCCTCGAGTCAAAGTGTAGCATACACTTGTCTGTAGTGAGGGAAGAGTCTGGAATAATTTTTATAGTTTACTAAAAGTGTCCTGTAAAGTATATAAATAGATACACATTTATATCTATTAGCTAGTAGCTAGCCTGTAATCCTAGCTACTCAGGAGGCCAAGGAGGAGGAGGCTGGCGTTTGAGGCCAGCCTGGGCAGAGACGCATAAAAACAAAAGGGCTCAGGCATAACTAAGTGGTAGAGCACTTGCCTATCATGCATGAGTCTTCAGTCCCCTGGGATTTAGTCCCTAGAACCGAAAAACAAAAATTTAAATCTGGCATTTGGGGCCGTAGTTCAGGAATAGAACTGTGCTTAGCACATGTGGGTCCTGGACTCAACCCTCAGTGCCCTCTAAATGAATTTCAAAGATAAAAATCTTACATTCCCTTTCATATCAGATTGCTGCGGTTCCATTTATAATGGTAACTGACAAGCCCATTGAATGCTCCTTTGTAGACTTGTAGAAAGCAGGTGTAATCCTTTAGCTGGGCTCTGGTTTCCTAGTAGTGAGAGCTGGCGTACGGAGGGTGATGTCTTTTTAATCATAGATGAGCTTGCAAAGGGGCTGATTCAGTAAATGCTGAGATGTCTGGGTAACTCTCTGGAAGAAAAAGAGGTGAACTCCTGCTTTGCAGAACAAATTCCAGATAGACACATAGCTGGGAGGAACGGATGCGTCCCTTTGTTGAGAGTCATTGAGCTTCAAGGAGTAGAATCCAGATTCCCTGACCCAGCTGATGCTTCTGTAAGTACAGAACACTGCCTTACTGTGTTCCAGGTCTTCCCTACCATCTCCTGTCAGCCTGCACTTCAGGGTGATTGCTGCTGCTCTCATCTCCATGAACACTTGACAGGACCCACCAACAAGTAGCCCACTTGAGAGGAACCCTATGTTACGTAGCCACCCAGATTCTACATGTCATGGGGTTCTTCTAAGTCCAGGCTGGACCTAGGTGCTAGATCCTGGGAAAGTCTTGTAACATTGGAAGAAACAGTGTGCCATACTTACAGACCAAGGTGGAATCTAACTTGTGACTCACGACCTTCACACAAGTGCCCTCTTCTGTTCCTTCCAGCTGTCTGTGCCTACGATGTTATGTAAACTCCCTTTGTTTTATTTTATAAAAATAAAGTAATTAAAAAGCTAAGCAAGCGTGATGAAATAGTCTTATCACTCTACAGTAGTTTGCTGGGGTTTTTTTAGCTTGCTGTTTTAATGTGAGTTTATCTGGGTTTTTTCTTCAGGTAGCCAGTGTATACATATTTGTTTTACACACACTGGTTTTGTACCTTTTTTTCTGGCACTCATAGCTAGGTTCTAAGTGAAAATGTTTTAGAAATTTTGTGGCACATGACTGTGTAAGTCTTATTTATGAAATGTCAGACTACTGCACTTTATTGCTGAGCACTGTACCCTTCTGTACACAGGATCAAGAGTTCAGATCCCAGAAGAACTTCATCATCAACATGACTTGCAGGTTTTGCTGGCAGCTTCCTGAAACAGATTATGAGTGCTCCAATTCCACCAGCTGCATGACAGTGTCCTGTCCTCGGCAGCGGTACACAGCCAACTGTACAGTGCGGGACCACATTCACTGCTTGGGTAAGTCATTCAGAGTTCAAGGAAGTTTGTGAGTAAAATGTTTTTCTCTGAGTTTACTTATGGGATCTTAACCAGAAATTTGAGAATTAAATTTAAATTATTTAGTCATAAACATTAACGGTTTCTTTTTGCTTGTTTGTTTTTTTGCGGTGCTGGGGATTGAACCTGTGGCCTTGCACATACTAGGCAAGCACTTTATCACTTGAGTGATGCCCCCAGCCCTTTTGATGTTTGTGTATTTTGTATTCCCTTTGCCGTGCTGGCCTTAAATTCACGATCTTCCTGCCTCCACCTCCCGAATAGCTGGGATTATTAGCCATGCCCCACTAATATCAACAGTTTTTAGATGTGCCAGTCCTCATTAATAAACTCAATGAACTGAAAAAAAAAGCAGCCTGAAAATGTGCAATTCTCTTATTGTTTTAAATATATTTGATAAAATAATTGCAGATCTAAAACATAATAATTGAATTTCACCCAAATTAAACACCATCACCACCTTAGTGACTTGCTTTCATCCACTTGTTTTACCTTCTCACTGGAACTAACCTTTTGAACTGCATTGTCCACTACTTTTTCAAAATCCTCTATAGTTATGTTGTGTATATGTAATAAAATACAGTGGGATGTGTTATTCAATAGTGCACATTTTAGATCTGTACAAAATGATGTCAGGCTGTGGTCTTCGGGGACTCTGCAGTTATGATCATGGCTGTAAGGTTCACCCATGAGAGTTACCTTATTTATTAATTTTACTAAGGTAGGAAAATCTGTTGTAAGGTTGGATTATGGCTTATCCGTTCTATGCATTTGAATTATTTGCTGTTTTTAGCTGTTACAGCTGCTGTTGAAATTCCTGGCCACAGCTCCTTGTGGCACGTGTGCCCAGTTGTGTTTAGCACATTTTCCTCTCCAGCATCGTTTTCCAGAATCCTTTTCTTTGCTTTCCCACCAGCAGTGGTACCTAATTGTTGTCAATCCAGATCTTCTCCAGTACTGTTTATCTTTAAGTTTTGTCTTTTCACTGAAGATTTCTGGAATTCTTTCATTTTGTCGATAATAATCTTAGTTTTCCCTAAAACTTTTTCTCAGCTTTTGAATTTTCACCTCCGCTTTGTTTATAGTATCTTTTTGATGATGAACAGAGCTTTAAAAATGAAGTTAATTTAAGCTGTTAGCCCTTTTCTTTCCTTTGTATTTTTAGTTGTTTATGTCTTTTCTTGCCTCAAGCTTATGAAAGATACTTTCTTTCACAAGCTATAAGTGTGGCCATTCCCATGTAGGTCTATAATCTGTCTGGACTTCATTTTGGTAGATGGCATGAATTCACTTCACCTTTCTATTTCTTCCCGCCTGAAGAGCCAATCATCATGGTTCATCTGTGTGTGACCTTTGTCAGTCAAGTGCTTGAGCTTGCTCTCCTATTGGGTGATTTATGAGTCTCAGCACCACTTTGTCTTATTTACTTCTAACTTTGCCAGCAGTGTTGATATCTAGGAAGGCGCTTCATGTTCTTCAAGCTGTAACCTTAACTGACTCAAACATTTAAATCTCTGCTTGTAACTGGTAAGGATTTTCTTCATATTGTTTGCTGTAGTAAATACTACTACTGTAAAGAGAGGTCAGTTTTTAGATTCTATATTACAAGGCCATTGTTTATAAGTAAGTCTCAGTGGGAATATTTTGTTCCTGTGTTTCAATGTAAAGTGTTTTCCTTTTTTGTTTGTTTGTTTGATAAGGTAATCGCACTTTTCCCAAAATGCTGTACTGCAATTGGACTGGAGGCTATAAATGGTCCACTGCTCTGGCTCTAAGGTAAGCTTTGGTACAAATGCCATGTGGTTTCTGTGAGTTAGTGGAGACTACAGACATCGTGCTTGGCTAGGCTCATCCTTCACTCAGATCTTAATTCATGTGGTAGGTAGACTCCAGGGAACAGTTGCACAAAGTTAGATGACCAGACAGGACCGTCACACCATTTAACGTCAGACATGTTGGCTTCTCAGGATTCCTGCACATTGTAGAGATGACATAGTAGAGTTATATACTGTAAGAACCCCATCCTGAACTTACGTGTATGGTAAAATGCTGTAGGCTTATTTAAAATATGTGGGTTTAAAGTGTATATTTTAAACTTTAAGAACTTTCTTATTATAAATAAATATATATATGGCAAGGTTGGTGGTTTATGCTTAAAGTCCAGGTACTTCAGAGACAGAGATTGGGAGGATCACAGTTGAAGGCCAGCCCAGGCAAAAAAGTTAGACCCCATCTCAATCAATAGCAAAAAGTTAGCAAGACACCCCCACCCCAGTCTCAATCAATAAGCTAGGCATGGTGGTGTACACCTGTGATCCCAGCTACTTGGGAGGCTATAGGTAGCAGGATAGCAGTCCAGGCCAGCTTAAGCAAAAATGAAAGACCCTACCTGAAAAATAATTACAGCAAAACAAAGGGCTGGGGGCATGACTCAAGTGGTAGAGTGCCTACCTACTAAGTGCAAGGCCCTGAGTTCAAATCCCATTACCACCAAAAAGAAAAAATACACACACACACACAAAATGCATATATGGGGACGGGAAGGAAGGAGTAAAATTACAGGTAATTTTTAATGTTTTTTTCTTTGTTTTCATTAAAAATTACCTGTGTTTTTACCATCCTGCAATTATAGACCTAAAATCCTTACATAAAAATGTGAATGTAATGTTAAACTTTTCAACAGTTTTTAAAAGGATTGTATCAAGTCTTCCCATCAAATAAAAGGCAGACTGGACTCTGTTCAAATGACTAATTAGAAGTAACACTATCTACATCTGAAGTCTTAGTGTTAAAGCCTGGGACCCTGGGCCTGCCTGAAATCCTGCCTGCAGGAGTTCTCATTTTGGGCTAAATGTGTCTTTGTCTTGTGTGTAGTGGAGTGCACCCCAGCATCACTAGCCCCTAAATACTACTGGTGTACACCAAACTTTCCAGGTGTGCTCTTTAGAATTCTCCAGACGTTGCTGAAAGGAGCAAAATTGCCCCTCTTGAGAGCTACTGCGGTAGGATTTGGGTTGTGAAAGGAAGGAGAACCCCACCTGGCCAGAGGGGTAACTGGAGAGTTAGAAAGGAATCCGAGGTGGGAATAAAGACAACAAAGTAAGACTGGACAACTGGCCAGAGTATTTGTTAGCAGTGTTCAAGTTAAAACTAGCAACCAACTTTAAGAATATATATATATTATTGATTTAGATTAATTTTAGGCTTAACAGAAAAATTGCTATGGTAGGGAATTCATATGCATCTCTCAGCCAGTCTTCTCTAAATCATTAATATGCGTTACCACTGTGATACATGTGTCAGCTGACTGTTAAGATTTGTTGTTTTTTTTTTTTTTTTTGGTGGTACTGGTGTTTGAACTCAGGGCTTAGTGCTTGTGAGGCAGGTGCTCTGCCACTTGAGCCACCCCTCCAGTCTGACTTTTAAAATTAGTAGCAGCTTTCTTCTCAGAGCTCAATATAGTTTCCTTCAAAATATTCACTGTAAATAAGATAAAGTCTGGGAGTTTGCTCCGAAGAACAGCTGTCCCTCAGTATCCTTGGGGTGTTGGTTCTGGGACCCCCTCAGATACCAAAATGCATAAATGCTTGAGCTCCTTATAGAAATGGTGAATTATTTGCATAGAATCTGCACACATCCTCCCATATACTTTAACTCATCTCTAGATGACTTATAACACCTAATACAATATAAGTGCTATGGAACTCTGTGTTGTTAGGGAATAATGACAAAGTTTGTGTATGTTCATTACATATATACACAGATGTATATATGTACATATATGTGTGTGTGTGCGTATGTATGCATGTATTTGGTTTTTCGTTTTGTGTGTTTTGGCAATACTGGGGTTTGAACTCAGAGCTTCATGCTTGCTTGGCAGGCACTCTACTGCATGAGCCACAATGCCAGCCCTTCAAAATACTTTTAATCTGTAGTTGATTGAGATGCAGAACCTTCTTTGGTTATGGAAGGCTGATTGTAGTGGCCTCTGTGGCAGGAATAGGCGAACATCAGCAAGAACAGGGTCAGCCACATGTGGATAACTAATGGAACTGACCCATGAGTACTGTTCTATTTCCTTTTTACTATTACATGTGTTTTGGAGTTGACCATAATAAATATTGTCTCTATATTGTTAGATTTCAGAATTCAAAGGAACCTTAAAAGTCATTCATTCATGTCACTAAATTTTTAGAGAAAAGTGATTTATACAACTTGACCTGAGTCAGCCAAACATACTGGGTGCCCCAAGACTGCAACTCCTGACCACGTCTGCACACTTTCTCGGATGAGTCCCTGTGATACTAAAAAGTACTGGGGTTTATTAGTTTTCTTTAAGAGGGAGAAACATTAGATTTCAGTGCAGCTAAAACTTGCATGCTTACTTTTCACGGCATGAACCCAGCGTCTTGCACATGCTAAGCTATATGCTTACTTGTCACAGTCTTGTCTGTGATCATTTGGTATTGTGAGTTTGTGGAGTGGTGGTTTGTGCTCCTTAGGGGTTATGGTAATTTGAGGCTCTTTCACAAACATCACAGCCACCTTGGTGATGAAACCCCAATTGGGAGCACTTACGAGGCCAGGCCACTTTGCCGTTGTGTTGCAGCATCACCCTTGGAGGCTTTGGAGCAGACCGCTTCTACCTGGGTCAGTGGCGCGAAGGCCTGGGCAAGCTCTTCAGCTTCGGAGGCCTGGGAATATGGACACTGATAGACGTCTTGCTGATTGGAGTCGGCTACGTGGGACCTGCAGATGGCTCTTTGTACATTTAGCTGTCGTCATGTGCTTCAGAGAGAGCAGTGATTAAAAATGTCCTTTGGCCTGTAGGAATCGGTGAGGTGTGAGTTTATGTTTTAATGTATGGTATCTGTACTTCACTTGCCTTGATGAAGGCAAAATAAACAAAGAAAACACTGAACTGTCCCAACCTGGAATTTTTATTTGCCTAAAATATATTTTATGTCTGTGAAAAAAATTTAAGCTTAAAGCCAGAAGGAGAAATTGGTAGGAAAGTCCATTTAACTCCTTCTCAGTTTTGTATTGCTTTTGTGGCACTGTGTCACCACATCTCAGACCTGCGCGCCATCTGCCGAGCTGAGTGCAGAGGCTGGGACAGATTTTTATCCTGTTAGCTAAATAAAGGTATCCACCTGTGCTTCCATCACCTATAAATTTTGCAGTGTAGTATCTGTGTAGTTGTCCTTTATAAAGTAAACTGCGCAAGTTTTGTTTCTAGTTGCCGTGGTTGAATTTTGTTAGCAATCTAAAAAGAGTTACAGGAATACCCTTTTTTTAATAAAATTGCAAACTTCTTTAAGAAATATTACAGACATGTTTTTTGTATGTTTTCCAAGTTAAAATACCTCGAATAACCGTGACTTACTTATTAATTAAGAAGTAAGATGTCTTTTTCGGGCCACTGCTGTATTTCAACAGATATTCTTAATTGGCTGGTTTATCAATACTGGAGGCATTGGAAAATGAATCTTTCTTTTGAGTCTTTTTAGATCAGTTGAAGAGAAAAAATTGCTATTAATCTAAAATCAGTTTTACTCAGGCTCGCTTTTGAAACATTTAAAAATTCTTAACATTCTTCCTTTCAAATTCCAGTATCTAAATACGTCTCTTTAGACATACACTTGTGTTAATAGCCAGAAGACAGCCAGCATATCAGGTCTAGAAGCCATAAAATATCTTTTGGGAATATCTCCATAAATCTCATGGGCACGCTGTTTATTCCTCCAGAAGTAGCCTCCAATAGTTACTTAAAAGGCGAATTGAATTAAAATTGAAAGGTAACTTACCTTTGAGCAATGGACGTCTTTTTGAAGTGCACATCTTCACTGATAGGTGTTTGGATATAGTGAGAGCAGTACCAGCTCTGGTCACTAGGTGGTGTGTCCCCATTCTGTTTGTATTCCCATCGTAGTTCAGAAACTACCCATCTAAAGTTTTTTTCCTAGGAACCTGTCAGAACATGGGCTGTGCTTCAGACGGGGAGTGCAGGGTTTGTGTGGACCTTCCTTTCCAAGGACAAATGAGTACTTTTTCTTATCCGTGGAACTTTTGCTTGAGCACATATTTCTTTCGAAAAGGACTCTCCTACAAGAAGCAGCCCCTTTGCTAACTATAAAAAAATTTCCTCTGAATCTCTTCTCATTTGGCTCTGTGTAGAAGAGAATCCAGCATTTCCCTGTTGAGCAGCCATGAGAGGTGGAGCCTGAGAATGGAATCGTGGGAAGTTATTGGCTTCACATGTTGCTCACAGAGAAAATAAGTAGCAGCTTTCTTGACGGATTGCCCATCTTTATGGCTTTGAGACCTGAGTTAAATAATGAAGCTGCAGTATTGAAAAGGTGAAAACTCAAAACATTCAGAATCCACAAAAGGGGGACATGAATGAACTTGTTCCAGATCCTAGAAAGTTTGCAGGAGGGGTTAGCCTTTGGAACCTAAAGAATAAACCTATCAAGGATTTGATGGGGCTTGATGGTCTGTGTCTGAGACAGAGCGGGTAGGAAATACAGTTTAAGCAACAGTGTGATGAACTCTGGGAGAAACCACAGCATAAAGTATGCTTCGCAAGGCCACCAGTGAAGACGGGTGTGATCTGTCAAAAGTCCTATGGGCTTCTGCTAGCAGCAGAATTCTGTGGTCTGGCCTTTGCGTTCTATTCCTGTACTGCCTTTGCTGACTGGACTGCAGCAAGGAAACAAGATGAACTGGGTGGCTTCTAGCCAGCAGCACAGTTCTGGAAGCCAAGATGAACGTGCTGGCATATTTGAGCTGTTTCCTTGTAGCACTGCCTTTCTGTGTCCTTGCTTGGTATTTATGGGGAGGGTTTCTAATCTCTTCATGAGCCTTGACACTATCACCCTCGACTTCATCATCTCCCAAAGGCCCCGCCTCCTAATACCATCACCTTGGGGGCTAAGAGTTTGAGTGAGGGAACACACAATGAGATCATGGCATGTGTGCTGTGAGCTCTGACAAGGGATATTGGGGAGCACCGATGGCTCTCCAGATACTCAGGATTTATCACTGCAGCGTGCCATCTGTTAGTATGTCCTCTTTATATTTCTGCCTTGCTTTGTCAGCATTCACACCCCAGTAATTCCTCACGGGAAGGTGTTGTGTTATTTATTTTGATCACCCCCTCTTTCTCTGGCCCTTGTATATTTGCTGAGCGTGTCAATACTATAGAGTGTCTTGAAGGTTTTGAAGGGGTTGCACAGAGTTCCAGGGACTGGCAGTCAAGGTGCCTGCAGGGAGATAATGTACAGAAATTAACTTTGAGTAAATCTTTGTCTATAGCACCATGTTAATCTGATTTTCACAAATTGCTAGGGAATACCAAGCATAGTTAATGAAGCTTATAAAAATATTTTAAAAGGTCTTATGACTCAAGATTTTAAAATGTAAAAATAACTTCTCTATGCATGGCACTTTGTTTCCCTGTGAGTTTTTAGTAGATAGATAGATAGATAGATCTTATGCTAGAATTGTGTTTGTTTTTGGCACATCATCAGCTAAGGAATTGACAAATGACTTTAATTCATCCTGTAAGCAGTGAGTGGAAAATGAGCTGTATCTGATGCAGCTTTTCAAATACGACATTGAGAGGCTCAAAATGAAGACAGATTTCTTTACACCTTCTCTTAAGCTTTCCTTCTGTCCACACCATAGCCACTGAAGACATTCTCCATTAATTATGGAGTATCACAAGAATGGAGAGGGTATGTATATAGGTTAGTTTTGTTTTTTATTTTTATTTTTGTGGTGTGTGTTGCTGAGGACTGAACCCAGCAGGGCCCCATCCATGCACACTAGGCAAACACTCTACCTCTGGGCTATACCCCCAGCCCTTAAATTTTTTTATTGTGTGTATCTGTGATGTACATGATGTTTCATTATACTGAAATGATTCCTGTGCTGCAGAAAATTAATACACCTCTCAGCACACATAGTTACCTTTATTTCTGTGATAAGAGCACTTAAAACTACTCTTAGCAAATATCCAGTATAGTATATCATAACCATAGTCCCCATGCCATACACTGTAAGTTAATTTTTTCTTTTTGGTGGTGCTGGGTATCGAAATCAGAGCTTTATGCATGCTAGGGAAGTGCTCTGTCACTGAGCTACACCCCAGCCTCTATAAATAGAGTTTTATAATCTGAATGAGTTTGTTATAAATTCTTGGGTTCAAGGTATTGAAATTATCTTCTATAAACACATTGTACAATATAAGGAAAGTTTGCTAAAGACACTTGGACGTAATCTACCAAGAGGTTCCATGAGGGAAGGCAGGACTAGCTCTTTGCTGTATCATCCAGCTTTGAGAGCCCTCACTGACAAGTAGTACATGCACGGTGGCACTTTGAATGAGCCATGGGGAATCTCAAAGTTAGCTAACCACCTAAAAGTATTGATTGCTAAGACCTTTTGAAAAGTGATAGTGTGCAGCTGGATCACAGATCTCCCTTTCAAAAACTCAATGACACATACGGTACAGTAGAAAGTAGCACATCTTCCAAACAAGCAAACAATCAAAAATTCGGCAAACAAGAAGACAAATGCCAAAAGTATCAAAAATGGCACTAAGTGGAAAAAAGTAGTTGATTGGGTGAGCAAACCAACAAATGGTCCTGGTGAACCAGCAACTTCAGGGACTCCCCCCCCTGGCAAGAGAAATAGATTTATTTGGAGAAGGGGCATAATATACTTAGCTTTTCCCTGTTATTGCTGCGGGATGGAAAGGTTGGTGGGAAGAGATTGATGAGAATGGCTAGTAACTGGTTCTGTGGTAGGTGGAGGCTCCATGCGGAACCAGAGAAAGGATCCAAACCCAAGATGAACCCCAGGGGTCATGAAAGTTTCCTAAATAAGGGGAAGACACCTTAGTTCAGGATAGCTAAAAAATCTTGGTAAAGAAATCAGAGTCCAAGTTGGGAATAGTGATGCATACCTATAGTCCCAGCTCCTCAGGAGGCAGGGATGGGAGGATTGCAAGTTCAAGTTCAGCACAAGCAAACAGATGCAAGCCCTGTCTCATCCCAAGGACATGATCTGTAGCAAATGTACGTACTTCCTAATGAGTACTGATTTGGCCATGTCCCCTGGTTCTGATATCTTTTGTTCCATTCTAAAACTTAAACTTATATAATTATATTTTACAATTTGAAGGCTTTTTTTGGCTAGGCAAATGCTTCACCACTTAAGCCATGTCTCCAACCCTTTTTGCTTTAGTTATTTCTTTAGGTAGGGTCCCCTGCTTTTTGTTTGGACCCAGCCTCAGATTGTACTTCTGTCTGTGCCTCCTGAATGGCCAGGGATTATAGTTGTGCACCACCATGCCTGACTGCATTATGAATGTTTTCTAAACCTGTATTATTTAATATAATGTTTAAAATTTATCGAGGCTTATGATTTTTTTTATTGTCTTTAGCCATCTGGGTCCAATCAGCAGATATAAACCACACTGTGAGTTAAATGGGAATTTAATAAAATTACTAAAATAAAATTACTAATGGTCAATCTTTATTGTCAACTTGATTGGATTGAGAAGTGCCTGGGAGATTAGTAAAGCACACTTCTTGGTGTGTCTGTGAGGGCATTTCCAGAGAGGATTAGCTAAGCGGGAAACAATGCCCCATAGTCTGGAGGGCCAGATGGAATGAAAGAGGGAAAAGGAAAAGCCAGTGAGCACAAGCATTCTCTCTGCTTCCTGGCTGCCATGATGTGGACTCTTCTCTGCCACACCCTCCCTGCTGTGATGGACTGAACCCTCTGAAACCATGAGCCAAAGTAAATTCTTTCTTCCCTTAAGTTTGGGTCAACTATTTTGTCACAACAGTGCAAAAGGAAATACAAAAGAGAAACATACACAAAAACAAACATACAAACTCATA